AAAAAAAGTCATCGTCAGTGTGTGTATGTGATTTCATAGACAAATAAATGCAAATTCTATGAGTATACAGAGAAAATTTTGACATAATTAAGGCCCTTTCAAGTAGGGAAGAGCTGTTACAACGCGAAATGAAATAACACAAAATGTTATATAAACCCGGATTATTGCATTTTGCTTTTATACTTTGCGTAGAGATCATATAAAATTGTGTTATTATTAATAATGCAATATGTGACAATTTAATTTTTTTTTTTGCATTTTCCATTATTACATTTGGCTTTGTAGCATAGGACAATAATAGGGAATCAGTTTTTAGCTCACCTGAGCTGAAGGCGTAAACTTTTCACATTTTCCTTTTCTTCTCAAGAACCACTGGCCAAATTTCAACCAAACTTGCCACAAAGTATCCTTAGGTAAAGGGGATTCAAGTTTGTTCAAATTAAGGGCCAAGCCCATTTCCAAGGGGAGATAATTATGAATTAGTGAAAAATTAATGGAATTTTTCAAAAATCTTCTTCTCAAGAACCACTGGGCCAGGAAAGATGAAACTCATGTGAAAGCATCCTCATGTAGTGTAGATTCAAGGTTGTTCAAAGCATGACCTCGGGGGGTAGGGTGGGGCCATAATGGCCGGTCAAAGTTTTACATAGGAGTATATAGGGAATTTTTTTTAAAATCTTCTTCTCAAGAACCACTCTTCCAGGAAACATGAAACTCATGTGGAATCATTCTCAGTTAGTGTACATTCAAGCTGGTTCAAATCATGACCCCTGGGGGTAGAGTGGGCCACAATGGCCGATCAAAGTTTTACATAGGAGTATATAGGGAAAATTTTTTAAAATCTTCTTCTCAAGAACCACTGGGCCAGGAAATATGAAACTCATGTGAAATCATCCCCAGGTATTGTACATTCAAGTTTGTTCAAATCATGACCCCTGGGGTAGGGTGTGGCCACAATGGCCGATCAAAGTTTTACATAGGAATATATAGGAAAAATCTTTAAAAATCTTCTTCTCAAGAACCACTGGGCCTGGAAAGATAAAACTTATGTGAAATCATCCTCAGGTAGTATAGATTCAAGTTTGTTCAAATTATGACCCCTGGGGATTTGGGGGGGGGGGGCAAATGGCTGATCAAAGTTCTACACAGAACTAGATAGGGAAATCTTTTAAAATCGTCTTCTCAAGTACTTCAAAGCCATGATTAGTGATATTTATGTGGAATCATCCTCAGGTAGTGTAGATTCTAGTTTGTTCAAATCATAACCCCCAGGGATAGGGTGGGCCACAATGGGGGATCTAAGTTTTACATTGAAATATATATATAAAAAAATCTTCTCAAGAATAGCAAAGCCATCATTAGTAATACTAGTATTGATAAGGAAGCATTTTCGGGTAGTGTAGAATTAAATTTATTCAAATCATAACCACCAAGGGTAGGGTGGGGCCACGATGGTGGATGAAAGTTTTACATAGAAAAATAAAGGAAAAAATCCCAAGAGCAGAAAAGCTATGTTTAGTCACATTGACATTTAAGCATCCTCATGTATTGAAGATTTAAATTTATTCAAATCATGACCCTTTGGGGTAGGGAGGAAAACAATGGGGAATCAAATTTAAATTATTATGAAGTTATATATAGGAAGAAAATGTTTTTAAAAAATCTTTTTATCAAGAACAGCAAAGTCATATGCTGTAGTAATATGAAGGCAATCTCAAGTAGTATAAAAATTCAAGCCCCCCCCCCCCCCCTTTTTCAGTGAACCTTTCAGTTCTGATCTGATTTGTGCTTTTTCCAAGCCGATTTGCTCAGGTGAGCGATGTGGCCCCTGGGCCTCTTGTTTATTACAGTTTTAAAAAATGATAATAAATCGAGGGGGAAAAGCCTGCCCATGATTTGAGAAAAAAAAGAAATTGGAATTGATTCTCAATATTTTTTCTCTGGTATATTAGTTAAAATAATGTGCTTTATGAGAATCGATACAAACTTGACAAACTATTTGCGAACTTTTTCAAAAACTGATGATGTCTGTTGAGTGAAATGAACATAAATTATGTTAAAAGAAATTATGTCAAGAGAAAAAAATATACCTTTCGACATATATTAGAAGTCTTTTTTAAATGTATAACTTTAAGCCATACGACTCATCAGTATGCATGAACAACAAGAGGTCCATGGGCCACATCACTCACCTGAGCACTGTGGCTAGGAAAAAGTAGAAATTGGTTTATTATTGAAAAGTTTAAATCCAAAAGTAGTCCTATGACCAATCATGCATGGATTTGTTATTCTTGAGAAAATGATTTTTAAAGAATTTTCCTATATATTTCTATGTAAAAATTTAATTGGCCATTGTGGCTCCGCCCTACCCCCGGGGGTCACGATTTGAACAAACTTGAATCTACACTACCTGAGGATGCTTCAATATAGATATGATCAATTATGGCTTTGCTATTCTTGAGAAGATGATTTTTTAAGAATTTTCCTATATATTTCTATGTAAAACTTTGATCAGCCATTTTTGCCTCGCCCACCCCCAGGGGTCATGATTTGAACAAACATGAATCTACACAACCTGAGGATGCTTCCATATAAACACATGCATGATCAATTATGGCTTTGCAATCCTTGAGAAAAAGATTTTTTTTTTTAAATTCCTATATATTTCTATGTTATTTCTCTTTCGGAAAATGGCCGAGTAGTTACGAATGCAACAAATACAGAATGCATTCAAATTCTCCATTACTACTAGCTGCAGATCTGTAGCATTATGGTTTATATATATATTTTTGTCTTTAACCATAACGCTACAGATCTCGTAATGCAATCAAGGTGCAATATACAAAATTTTTTGCGCACTTTTGGGGAGAATTTCTCCACTTTCTAGTATCGGTCAATTAACGACCTTTACTCCCTAATTCTAGGCAAATTATTAAACTAAGATCTGTATATTTCATCCATCTACCTACCCTTTATAGTTGTCTCTACAAGTGATAAACTCGCTTGATTAAAATCATATGTTATATTGCTGAAAATTCACTTCAAGTGAGTTTATTGAGACAACTATAAATGGTTAGAAGGTGGATAAAATATACATATTGGCTACAGAATGTGTCTAGAATTAGGGATTGAAAGGTAGTTGATTGACCAATGCTATAGAAAGCGGAGAAATTCTCCCCGAATGTGCGCAAAAAATATTGCGCCGTAAATTGCACCTTTTTGCATTACGGGATCTGTAGCGTTATGGTCAAAGACAAATATATAATAACTAAAGTAAATAATTCATGTATGCATATAAATTAAATTATTCCTTATTTCTAAATTCCATTGCATGGAGAATAAATTTTCCTAAACCAATTAAAACACTGACATCATGAGAGCTGAGTAACTGAGTAAGCTTGTACATATTTGGAGATATGAAATAATATGGTTTGATATATTGATGCCAAAGGTTTTGTGACCATTGGAAGTTTTTGTTGTTGGAACACAGTGTACATGTAGAGATGTAACTTTTATGATACATTAAACTACAACTCAGTCTGTACGTGTGTATCACATGATACTTGTGTGAATGTGTTTTAGACTTTTTTTTATAATATATGTAGCTTATTGTCTCCCGCTTTCGCAAAAGCGAGGGGACATTATATCTTATTCGTCTGTCACCGTCCGTCATAAAAACTTTAACTCTGGTCATAAGAGAAGAGATAGTGCTTTCATATCTCACAAGTACATTACTATTGTGACAAAACCTTTTCAAATATGATTATGATATTTTACCCCGTGACCTTAAAGTTTGACCTACTTTTCAAAACTCTCTTATTGGTCTTATAACTTTAAGATGAGAAGAGAAAGGGATTTTCATATTAAAGATGTACATGACCTGTGAAATGACCTTTACAAATACACATTTTTGACCCCATGACGCTGACCTTCATGTTTTTTGACTTAATTTTCAAAATTTTATCTTTGCTTATAACCTTTGATTTAGAAGAGATAAGGCTTTCATATTTATTCTATGCATTTAATGTGATAGTACCTTTTTAAATATTATATAACTTTTTATCCTTGACCTTGAAGTTTGACCTTTTTTCTCATTTTATTTGATATTGGTCTTTAACTTGAATGAGAAAAGATGACGTTTTCATTTTAAATATGTGCATTACCAATGACAAGACCCGATTCCGTGGCCTTCACCTTCAAATTTGACTTAAACGGTACTTTCCAAAAGTTTATCTTTCCTTATAACTTTTAAATGTGGAAAGATAGGGCTTTCAAGTTTGACACGTGCTTTACCTGTGACAAGGTGTTTCTGGGCATGCTATGATTTCTAACCTATTGACTTTTGAATGACATGTACAAGATTGGGCATCCATATTTAACGTCATCAGTATTGTTAATGGCATCTCCCATCGATTAAGACACCAAGAGCATGGAACCAGCACTATTTTGCTTGTTTTTCTCTTGAGAAAATTATTTGTTGCATGCAGTCTCAGGAAATTTCACCTTTTTTAATTGCATAACCATGATTCTGGTTAATTTCAAAGCTTATTTTGAAGTAAAACAACACACAAAAAAGCTACCATAAATCTGTATTATTCTGTTCTACAGTCAAAATGAGAATGCACATACAGTATACTCAGTAAGTCCGTGATAGCAGTAGTTATATCCTGCAGTAAGGCTCCTATACACATGGTTGTTGTATTCATACAAAATGACTATATACATGGCATTGAACAAATTAAAAAAAATCACAGGCCTAATTTTGGTAAAAAGAAACACAAATAAACAAAAAACATTCAAAATCTGTAGGTCAGCCAATATCCCCTCTTTTTTTCTTTTTGTTCAGAGAAAAATCCCTTTGTACAAGCTTAAGAAAAAAACACAAAATGTTAAGCAAGAAACTGGGAATGTTTTTGTTTCCAATATAGACCATAAATTACAAAAGCAGGATAGCATGCTACATTAAAGCTAGGGAGGACATTTTCCAAGGGTATATTTACATGGATATTTCATGGACATTCTTTCTATAATCCTGCAATGAAAACCAAATTTGATAACCTGTTTTTCAATTCAGACTGACACTTTCCTATTAGTAACCTTAAGATTACCCAAGGGGGAAAAGTTAGATCCATAATCATTACTTTGCAAAAGCTTGGAAAAAAAAAAAGAAAACACCTAATACTTTACAAAAATAATTACTGTAAGGGTTTCCTCTACTTGCCCTGTACTTTATAAATCAGAAATTAAAAAAATAGGATTTAGTGACATTAAATTAATTTGTGTTTAGTATACATGTTTCAAGCTGTTTTATACACTTGATTATTTTTTTCAAACATTATCTAACCTGATATGGTTTTCTATTTTAATGCCCAAATTACAATTGTGGATTGCAACTGCAAGATTTAGGTTGTGTAAGAATATTATGCAAAATTCAATATAAAAGTTGGTTCATGACATTTTTTCATATGTATTACATTTTTTTAAATTATGAAAATGGCATGGTCAGTGTGTTGAGCAATTATCTTTTAATCTGGGACTGAAATATTTTTTTTTATATAAGCATCCATATACTCTGCTTTAACATCACCCCTAAGCAGCATTTTGAAACCTGCCCTCGGTAATAAGAAAAGGGATTTGCACCAAGATGACCTACAACCTAACTCTATTGCAGTATCTTGCGAACACAGTGGTGAAAATAAAATTTTCCCATACACATTGCACAACACTCAAAGCATATAGCTAGGACAATTCTATACTAAAGACTTAATAAACAAAAAAAATGTAAAAATGTACATCAATTTTATGTTTTAAAAAATGTTTCCTCTATCTGAGTAGGGCGTCTCTATAGAAGAAGTCCTATCAGAGAGCATTCCTACAACACGATACAGATAAAATGAGCAGACACAGCCTCTGAGAGCCAGATATAAATATTCAGATCTTTGACAACACGACGAGACATTTCTCTTGTAAGTTAAAATGACATACATGTACAATCCACTATATGAATTTCCTAGTTCCAGTTCTAGCATTTAATCCTTTCTAGACATGGGTTATATTTGTGAATAAGTTTACTCATGAAATCAGTAACAATATGGATACTAAGAAAAAAATTGATATTACAAAGAGCATGCAATATTGCAATCAGTAATATAAAATGCTTCCTCGAAATAAAAAAGCTCAAAATGGAGAAGACAAGCATAGCTCTGCATGAACATACACATAAAATTAAATATGTTAATTTAAATAGCCCATAGGCTGTCACCCTCCCCACCGCCTCCCTAAGACATAGCAATCCAGCTTTCTTCTCCAAAACTACATACAGAATATCGAAAGTGATAACATGTCAAAGATCAAAAGCATGTTTCCTGCCCGGAAGCTCAGTATGAAAACACATGCTGTCAAAGGCACAACATCTTAGCCATCAGAATAAAAGACGCTAAAAACCACATAGCATAGGAGGTTTACAGTATGGAAAAGTTCAAAGATTATACACACAAGTATTGCTTTAATTGGTGGTCTTCAGTACTTCTACTTTCCGCAAATGTTTTCACTTTAAAAATCATTAATGAATAAAGCAGGATATTGTTTGTAATGCATGTATCAATGCAGCAAATCACATTCTGTCAATGAACAAGCAAATCACTCTAGTGGCAAGTGTCTGCTGTCTGGGGCAGATTCCCGACCGTTACACGAAATCTCAGGATAAACTGTGTGGAAGGATGAAGCTCTGGAATTATGGGCTAGCTCTAGATCGTGCTCTCTTTACTCTCCTTCTTTTTGGACTTGGAGAAAGATGGCATCCTGAATTTGTTCTTTTTCTTCTTTTTATCCTTAGTTGGAGATGGCTGATCTTTTGTTGGGGATCCCTGAGGAATACAGAAGCAAAGGTTTATAAAAATGAAAAGAAATGAACCTATGTCATAGCTATACTGTCAGGGTCATCACTGGAGACCAATTCTATACAATTCTTCAACTGTAGACAAACTACTTAATAGAATTAGAATCAGTTAGATGCAATATGATATAAAATTATGTTTCTTGTATTATATGTAACATGTTTGTCTGAAAATAGCTCTTCAGAGCTACATGCAATGTTTTCTGTTGATGTTGATGACTTTGAATATTATCTCATGTTTTTTAAGAGCAATCAACAAATCCGTTAAGTCAGATTCAGAAGACAGGGGGATTGTTACCTCTTTACTGCTGTGATCCTCCAGGTTTTCCCCTCCGCTGGCGCTGTCCGTTGATTTCAGCGTGTCGGACTTAGAAGGAGATCCCGGCTTATCATCGCCATTCACCTTGTGATCTAAAAATAATCAGGTAAAGTCATCAAAAATAAAATACACCTTATATTCATAGCAGTACACTGCTCAAAAGTTTTACAAAATAATTCAAATGATTTACATAAATAAAACTCTCCTTTGAATAAAATGTAAATCATATAAATATACATATATATATATATTTTTTTATAAAATTAACAATACTGGAAAAGATTTTAAAAAAATAAACACATTTTTCCAATACATCTGTTAAGTCTATATTCTTTGACAAAAAAAGAAGCATTAAGCTGCTTGCTACCTACAAGAAGCGATAATTTTTAGATGTAAATGAGTATGATATTAATTTATATAAAACTACTTTCATATATAATGGAACAGCTATTCAACAAATTAAAGTAATTTATCTAAGCACTGATTAATTTTTTCCACCTAAATCTAGAAAATTATGATGTTAAACTCTACAGGATACTGTAGATTGGCAAATAATCACGATGGTTTTAATTTCGCTATGTTCGCGATTCATCTTTTTTCCGCGAAAGTAAACCCATCGTGAATGTTATTATTAGTTTTTAGAAACGTTTAAATGCTTGTACGAAATTTGAAATTAACTTCTTGTAGCGTGAAATTAAAACCATCGCGATTGGTACTTTTTGAGACATCGTGATATTTCAACACCGTGGAATTAAAACGATTTACAGTATTCTGATCCAAAATTATTTATAATTGGGAACGAATGAGTTAATATCCGTAATACCTTAAGTAAATCTTTAAAAATATCAAATTAGTAAAATTACATAACTGCCATGAATATTAACACAATTCTTTACTGTTATTATGTTAAATATCCCCATGTGAGTGAAACCTTCAGTGCAAAGCATGCAGCAATCGGCTAGAGCGTGATTTAACACTTACCACGCGGCCAGCGATCGGATTTAGATCGTTCAAAGTTCTTCTTTTTTAACTCATCAATCACTAAGCAGAATAATTTATTAAATAATTTTTTTCTTTCCAGAATTTCATAATTTCAATTTTTTTTAAAAAAATAAAACTTTTCTTCATTCAGAGATACCAAACAGTATTACATCTTTGTTAATCAATACATAAGATTGGATACAAGGATTTTGTTAACCTGTGATGCTTACATTCTGGACTACGAGGCGGCTCTCGCGCGGAGTCCGACCGCTGTAACTGGGATCTCTTAGACTCCTCAGTCTCTGTTTACATGCAAAGCAAAATAGATACATACAACATCCAACGTGTTAGCTACAAGAATTCTGTGTTAAACATCACAACATACAAAGTTATAAATAACAGACTCTGCATCTATTGGATAAAATCTCTCCTCTACCAAGACTGGCTGAAGAGGTGAGATGTTATACATGTTCCAAGACGTCAGTACATACATTATTGACAGAAAAATCAGAAGTGCAAAACAGAAATACACAACATTATATAAATGCCTCTTTTAATATATTCAGTGCAAAACATAGACAATGTATGTTTCTTCCACAAAGAGAGGGTGTATAATATTAGGGTTATACTGTTTCTGAGTTACTCTTTGTGTAACTCATTTTCTGCAAACTATGAAGAGCTCCAAACAAAATGAACAGGCAAGGTCTCTATTTGAAATAGACAGGGCATCTGCTTTGCACAGACAGGACCTATGCTATGAACAGGGAGGGCCTTTTCTCTTCTAAATTAATACTATTTATTGGTTTTATTTTCAACAACATGGATTGAAAGTCATTCGTCAAAGAGTCTTGTCTGTTCATTGGTTTGGATTATGCCCTTATCAATGACCATCAACCATCAGAAGTTTTGACACGAACCCTTATTATTGCTAGGGCTCCCATAGGAAGAGTTGAGTATGTCATCCACATTTGTTTCTCTTGAGGAACCAAGAGAGCTTCTAGATGATCTCTTATTTCTGGTAACTATAAAAGCAGAAAAGGCAAGGCATGCTAACATACATAGTATATAAAGCAAGTAAGGCTGAAAGTGTGAATAAAGCTATTGGTTATAGAAAATGAAAAAGATAAATACATGTACACATACAAATAAGGAACTAAATATTCTGTATAGTTTAATATTTGTAGAGGTTCAGTTTATTAAAACAAGAGGCCCACGGGCCTTATAGGTCACCTGAGTATCTTGTAAATAAGAATAAATGCATTTTCACCATATAATCAATAGAGCCCCGCCCTAACACCAGAACCCCTGACCCTGGGGCCATAAAATTCACAATTTTAGAAGAGGCACTCTTGCTCATCATAACTATGTACTTAGTTAGTTTATTCAATCAGAGAAGAAGATTTTCAAAAAATAATGCATTTTCACTATATAATCCATAGAGCCCCGCCCTAATACCAGAACCCCTGACCCTGGGGCCATAAATATCACAATTTTGAAAGAGGCACTCTTGCTCATCATAACTATGTGCTTAGTTAGTTTATTTGATACCCTGAAGCAGAGAAGAAGATTTTCAAAGAATAAATGCATTTTCACTATATAATCAATAGAGCCCCGCCCTAACACCAGAACCCCTGACCCTGGGGCCATAAAATTCACAATTTTGAAAGAGGCACTCTTGCTCAACATAAGTATGTACTTACTTAGTTTACTTAATACCCAAGAGCAGAGAAGAAGATTTTCAAAGAAATAATGTATTTTCACTATATAATCTATATACTAGCACCCCTTACCCTGGGGCCATGAATTTCACAATTTTGGTAGAGGACTCAATGCTCATTACATTCATGCCAACAGTTTGCCTGCTTGATGTCCAGGAGTAAAGAAGAAGATTTTTAAAGATTGCACTAATTTTAGTGGTTTTGGCCCCACCCCTCAGGCCCCAGGGGGGCAGGGAACATGAAATTCACAATTTTTGTTCCCCTTCACCCGTAGATGCTATGTGCCAAAATTGGTTGAAATTGGTTATTCAGAGAAGAAGCTGAAAATGTTCAAATGTTTTAGGTCACCTGAGTTTACTCAGGTGACCTAATAAAGTTAATGTTTGACTGACTACCATCTACAAAACGTACTCCTAGTCGTAGTTGCAACATAGCCATGTACTAATTGAAAACCCCCGATATTCCCATCTCATCCTTGGTGTATATAAAAGAAAATGAGAAGTTAGTAGTGCCCCCATTGTATGCAGATTCCTTTGATTTTTTTTTCCTACATTCAGATGTAAATCTGAGCAAAAGTAAAATTTCTGTTCCATAGTTGTATTATATTGTATTACATTTCAATGTGCATGTTTATATATAACCATCATAATTTTTAAACTTTTGACCAAAAGAACAACCCTAAACAAACTAATTAATAGATTAAGCTATGAAAATTACAAAGCTCCCAAACTTTATCTTTTTATCCATGAAATTCATCAGAAACAAATAAGATGTCTATTGTAACCTCATCCCCTTCCCCCACCCCTCACTTATTTTCTACAGCCCCCCCCCAATATACTGAAATGAGACAGGAAGAGGAAGTGGCATCCATTGCTATGAGATGTGAGCTAGCAGATCTGGAGACCTACCTTGGAAAACTAATGACTACCAACCTTTGGCTGAACTATTAGTGGCAGGAGATAAAGGAAGTGATGACTCATCAACAAAAACATCGTCGTCATCATCAGCTACAGGTTTGGGTGGTTCTACTTGAGGTTTAACTACACAACAACAAAACATGCCAGGCTATACATGTACACTACTACACCATTACCAAAGGCTTCATGCATCACAAGATCTCTCTACTGTTGCAGCTGTTTGTATAATTACATCACATTTATAACACAAGAAAATTCCTCTCTTTTGTAATTTCTTTTGACAGGATGACATAGAACAGTACAAAAAACTTGAGAGTATATTGTTTTTTTTTTTTTGTTTTGCTGCAGCACACCAAAACCCATTAATCAATTCAAAAGCAATGTTTTGTCAATATAGAAGATTTGCAGGTAATAAGCCTTGAAATTAACCATTACATATATCTTTCCTTTACAACCTGTTTTATTACATCAATTAGAAAATCAGATTCTTTACTGCTTTACAACGCGTGTCAACCAGAATATCACATTGATAGAGCAGTCAATCTGTGATACTGTGTGGTTTATATTTGATTATCTGTACAGTCTATATTTCATAATTTAACCTGCAAAAAATCCAAATTGACAGACATAATACATCTGTTGGCATTGTTAATGGGGAATGGGTTTACACGTTTAAGACTACACTGGATGACAATTTGTTGCAAAATCTACACTAATACAAATCTGTGTAAGTATGCAACACATATAAAGTATTGCAGTGCACAAAGCTTCTACTTAAATTTTACACAATGCCTTTCACCAATATAAACAGGTTTAGTTCTTTTTATACTGTATATATACTATTATTATAATTAATATTCTTAATACATTTGTATATTTTTCTAATTTTATAAGCTTTGATAAGATAAGCGAACTCCTTGTTGATCTGTTGGTTATATACAGTGGAAGGAATCGGTCTCCAGCCAGACCCTGATTCAGTGCTTCACTAGTCTATATATAAAATCTATCGCTATTGTCCTGGTACACATCAACTTACCAATGCCTCTCTGGAGACCATGTGTGTCATGTTAAATCTTTTTTAAAAAATTATATCATTTCTTTATCTAAATTGATGAAAAATTTTCCAAGGAACAATAAAGGGTCCCAAAACATTTTCCTACAAAAATGTAGGGTCTAAACTCTAAATTTGCATGAGTTTGATAGTTTTCTAGTCCACTGCATTGACAAGCTTCTAATAAAATTAAAACTAAAGGCATGCTCCTACAAGTTGACACCACTACCAATCCTAGCCAGGTTCAAACGGTTTCATGCACCATCAGCAGAACAAGCTATGGACATACATCATCCCTTCATCAACAAAATATTTCCTCAGATGAATTTCTTTAACTTTTTTAAAAAAAAGAACACTAAAGAAATCTGAAGGAGGAATACCGGTACATTTGTTGACAACAGGTAGCTCATTTGTTCAATAAGACTACATTAAAAGCCTCTAACATTAAGGGCATTCTCCTCTCACTCTAACATTGATGGGGAACACATTGGAGTTACCGTACCTTCTACAGACGGTTTCTTCTCTGGCTTTTCCTCTGGAGTTGGCTCTGGTTGCTGTTGCTGGTGAATATTCTGCATTCTCTCCTCGGTTGAGATTAATTTCCCATCAGGCCCCGGTTCTAGAGATTCCTCAGTTGGAGATGTCACTGAAATAATTCGACATTACAAGTGACTCAGCTCACAATTTCTTGTTCTTTTAACTTTTCTAATTCAGATGTAAATATTTTCAATTATTGCGCAATAAACATACATTTTCTTGAAGCTGCTCCTTATGCAGAATAAAGTTGAGTGTTCAAAATAGCATTTTTTCAATTCCTTATTAAGACAAAGTATTGCTCAAAATAACTTTTTTTCTAATCTCAAACTTTCAGGTAGAGCACATTATGTACTTACTTCCCATCACTTTTAATTAATCTAGTTCTCTACTGACCTGGTTCCCCTCTGGACTTTTTCTCCACCTCTACTTTGTACCGGTCGATTTCGTCCTGGGTCATGTTCTCGAATGGATTAGCCTGGTACTGTGATTTGTAGACTTGTACGTTGTGCTGTTGGTCACGCTGTATGATGCCTTTAGAAGCCGCCCCGATCACAATCACACTGTCTCCCGCCATACTCAGCGTACCATCCTACATCAATAGACCGCCACGTTATAACAGGAGAAAAAGGGTCAAATGAAAACAAAATGATGAGTATATTACAACCTCTTAAGATTTTGATGTTAAAAGAACTAGTCAAACTGCAAAAGATCATTTACCAAAGATGACATTTTGTTCAGTATAAAACAGGGTAAAAAAAAAAAACAACAACACTGACAAATTCACACAGTTTAAATTTAATTTTCTAAAGCAAAATAGTTTTATTTTTCTTAAAGAGGCTTTTGTGCTATATGTATATCTTAAAAAAGAATTTCAGTTACTTTTCTTTATCAAAATAACAAAGAATCATCTTTTGTGAACAATTCCTGGGACAAAAGCCTCACCTGTGTCAAATCATACTCTCCATTTCTAAGGTATTACTTAAAGTTTGTGATTGAAGGTGATTCTTATATTGCAATTTTAGGCCTTAAATTTTATTTTCAGATGATGTAATGCATAAAATTTATGCATAAACAATGATCTTTGAAAATACAAGATAAGCATTAAACATCCTTCATTATTGTTTACAAGATAGCCCCACTGTAGACCTGAACTCCCAACACACTGACATGTATATTTACAACACTGGTAAAGGGCTGATTACTCATTAAAATAAAAAAGAAAGTTTGCCTGATTTGTGTGAAAAAAAAGGTGAAAGGTGAAACATACTGCATTTTTAACATAAATCATCTTATCCAAACAAATGATCTTAAACTCGAGTTCCAAAGGTCCTGCAAACATGTCTGTTAGATGTAATTATCCTAAAGCCCTATAAAAATTATATAACTGAGTTACCCTCCTCCATGAACCCAAACCCAGCTTATTTTTTTTAAAATTTACTGCTCATTATGTAGCAATTTATTTAAACTAAGGAGCTCAAAATTTTAGTTAAACATTATCTATCTGCAGACTAAACAGGAACAAACAAAATAATATTTGTCTTTTTCAAACTGTTTTCTAGCAGGAAAGCTACTCCCAACATCACAAAGTATGCCAGGCATGGGAAAGAATTAGTCAAGGATCATCTCTTATAATAGTCACAGGATTTAATTTTAAAAATTCTAGAAATAACTTAAATTGCAGTCCTAACCCTTTTTCATGTGCAGTACCTGCTTTGTGTACAAGTTTGCTGCAGGTGTTATTTTTTTAATTAAGCTTGCTTGACACACCTCTGAAGTGTTAAATTGGCTAATCTTTGTGTGCTTCAGTTATTCTATGTCAAGGTATGTTATCTCACCTTAGAGTATAATGCATAGCGCTGGAAGGTTTGAGAGAAATTACACTGACACAGTATAGAGAAATCATTTAAAATCATCAGAAAAAAAGCAAACACTTTGATTCTAATGTAAGAAAAGCAACCTAGACACAAACTCTACCAAAATTCTGATTACATGATAAAGAAGATGTGTAGGGAAAATTTTCATAACCAAATAATTTATCCATTATTTCAACAGTCTTGTGACTAATGTGTATAGTGTGTTCCTACTTACTCAATATGATTGACAAGTTAAATACCCCAGTCTTTGTAATCTGGATTCTGAGTATTTTTAATGATTCTGGTTTGTGTGTATTAGTTTTATATCTGAACCATTTAAATGGAAAGAAAAAAAAATCAAAAGCTGCATCAGAGACCATACCTCATATTTTCCAGCCTTAAAACAAAACATTTTCCACACATTAAATAAAATACCCAATGAACTAAAAATATGAACAATTCAAATATAAAACACTGTATATGTTCCTTACGATGCTTCATATCTTGTTTCTTAACTCAGTATATGAAAAGAAAAATCTTTTCATTTTCTTTTAATCTGCATCCTATCACATACAAAAATTTTGAACAAAGATCATCCATTTGTGGATGTACTGAAAAGCTCCTTCCTTTTTAAGTTTATGTATTTTATCTCTTGATTTTTATTTAATTTCCTTGGTATTTGTTCTAGAAATCAAATTCATTCTTGTATAGCTCTACTTCTACAATTTACAGTATTAAAATACCTGTTATGTCAATAAAATAAACATTACAATAGATCAATTAATATGACGGTTTCTTATGAATATCATCACATTAAGTCTGTGTTAGTATTATGATAGTTAGAGATGAAGTAAATGACTTACTAGTTTGCCTTCCTCCTATGGTGAGAATAAAAAAAAAGAAGCATTTCATATCACATCACAAAAGTCAAAGCTAAAAACAATAATTTCATATGCAAAACAATAATCAAAGCTTAATCACACAGCATGTAACACTGGAGTTAGCAATCAGTTGGTGTGGCAACACAATAATATATTTAATTTCAAAAACACTGATACTTCATACATCATTTTTTTAAAAACTTAAATCCAATGATATTTTTCATTGCCATTAAAAACTCCTTAATATGTTTAATGAAAGGCACATATAAAACTTTGTAGTGAAAGACATCGAAAGCTAACAGATGCATAAAAACAATTTTCTGAGTAGGAGTGAAATTCTGATGTATTCATGCGTTATCAGTAACATGATGCCCGAGTCCCTGGGTGTACAGACCTGTAATTTCTGTGCTTCCTCCCACGTTAGCCCCTCCAGAACTCGCGACTGTGGCCCAGCAGTTACTTTATCTTCATAGTAATCTTTCCTTATCTGTCATAACAAAATCAGAAATAGGTCAAAACTGTGATTATGGTGATGGTGGTCAATGACTTTCAGGGCCATATGACCCTAGATGTTTTACACGAGATCAGCTTCAAAATGTCAGTACATAAAGGTTCAATGCAGTAATACTGATAAAGCGAAATGTGAGGCTCCAAAATGTGTGCTCCAACACATCTTAAATTAATAATGGTTGAATATAAAAGTATTTCAACAATTATCTTTCTTATTATATTCCAGAAATACATTTCAAAAATTATTTGCAGACAAAAATGTTTCCTTTTATTTACAATCATCATGTACAACACTTTGTTACCCATTACTTACATCTTTCTGTTTTTTCTTGAATTCTTTTGGATCTGACCCTTGCGGGGCAAACTGGTTGGGATTTTCCAGCTTTATAGGTGTACCTGAGTTAGATGGTGAACCCTCTTGTACCCACTAAAACAACAAATATAAGATTTATACATACATGTGTATGATATCTTATTTTTAACAGTTTGGTGGATTTGTCTTCCATTTTTTTTTTCATCAATATAATGGTTCCATTTTTAAGGCCAAAACTTTTTTTTAAATTCTGATTAAAAGGATTATAAATCATGCAAGCCCTTAATTAAAAATTATTTGTGCACATTTCACAGTTATGTTTTTCTATATACATATGTACCTCTTTTACTTTGAAGGAAGCATGCTGAGGTGACTGTAAGTATTGTACCTTAGTAATCTTTTTAGGGTTGGTTGTTCCAGTTTCCTCCAGTTCTTTCTTGACATAAGTATTGGGAGAGTTTAACCAACCGGCTTTGTAGTGCTGTTTCTGTCTCTCAATGGCTACTTTAATTGGTGACCTAATAAATAAGTTTACTAATCATTCACTTTGACCAATTTCTCACTTCTCTGAGTTTACAATAGACAAATCAACATTTATTCTGGAGGAATTTTCAAGTTATTTGACAGTTACTCATTGTATACAAGATTTACAAAAATTTGCATTTCAAGTGTGAATACAAATAATTTTTCTCTTTAAGATAAAGTCACATAAACTACATCTTTCACTGCATCTCTAATACATGACTTTCTCAGGAATCTTTGTGAACTAAAGCATGTGTAGTGGGTATCTTACATATATTTGGAGTGTTCATTTGGTAGGTGGCATATCTTACATATATTTGGAGTGTTTGTTTGGTAGGTGGCATATCTTACATATATTTGGAGTGTTCGTTTGGTAGGTGGCATATCTTACATATATTTGGAGTGTTTGTTTGGTAGGTGGCATATCTTACATATATTTGGAGTGTTCGTAGTCTCCATCAAACACATAAGTAAATGAACTAGAGGCTGGTGGGATTTCTACATCATCATTACATTTCTCTCGCTTGGCTTCCAACTTGATGATTGGTTGTCTGTATACAAAACCTGTCCTATAACCCTGTAAAAACAAGGAACATTGACATTTTTATTCGAAAGTTAAATTTTACAAAAATCATTCATAAAAATCAATGAAAATATTACCTGTGCTGGGCATTCATTTTAAAAACAAATAGCACTTTAATTCAAAAGTCAGTTAAAAATTGGATAAAAAGGTTTTTATTTAAGGTAATTCAATTTTTTTCACAACTTCACATAGCATTTCAGAAAATCTGTAAACATGTATCCAACAATCATGTCTCCTTTACAAAAATTTGATATTCTCAATCATGCAGACAATGTCAGTGTAACACAAATTACATGTAACTTGTTTTATCAACTGATTTAAAATGGAAAATTTCAACTGATAACAATATTAAACTAAATGATTCATAAAGAATCAATCATACACTTGTTGAATTACCAATTAGACAAATCAAGGACGTTATATCATGGTTCAACTGAATCCCTATTGGACCAGTATATGATTATTGTACTTACAGCATTATCCAGCTGCCTCATGAGAGCCTCGAACTCTAACTCCCCCGTCTTCCATTTCTTCCCGCTGGTATCCACCCCTCCCCCTCCCTGACTGCCAACGGCAAACGTCTTCCTCCGCACTTCATCATCCACCAAAATTATGTTGTCTAAACCAGCTGGCAAGGCTTTAATCTACAGCAAGTAGAAATCAAATTCAAGTTTTGTTGATATTACTGTGTTTCTTCTGCATGTTGAAATAAAAGTTTTCTTTTGCAGGAAAATTCTGTTCAAAAGTACTTTTTATAAAACCCAAGCAGTTTTAGCCATTTCATAGCCTATGTATAATTTAGCATGATTTAAACTGCTTGTTTACCATTCCTTCTATACCCACCTGTGATTCACAAGCTGCCATAACATTAAATGCGTAGTGGAAGGCTTCTTCTATAGTTGTACCACAGGCTACAACTCCGTGATTTCTTAGAAACATAATCTACAAAGAAATCAGAAATAAAAAGAATAATTCATTTCCATCTACTGATAAGGCTTTCAATTTTTATACAGGAATTAAAACATTATTAGCTATGTATTCACTTATGACAAACTTTTTATTTAAGGTCAGTATAGTTACTTTATTGTTTGGTCCTAGGTGACGCTGCAATGCGTCTCTTTCCTCTTGGTCGACTAGTATTCCGTTATATTCATGGTAGCTGACTTCACCACAAATAAGGGCTTCCTGTGACATGGGCAGAAAACCGCATTTCAATGTAGAAACCTGAAATATGAAACCAAATAATGCAACAATTGCAGACAATAAATCAAAAGTCAACATTTGAATTATGTATTGTTTTTAACAGAAAGGTTTAAATGACACAGAAGACTTTAACTGGCACATTTTTAAAATGAGTTTTACGAAATAATTAAGAAGTCAGGGTTTTTAATTGTATTAGCAGTAGAACAAGCTTACAGCGACAGCTGCTGGAGTGTGGAGATGAATGACACATCTGAGGTCAGGTCGTGCTTGGTGGATTGCCGAGTGAAGCGTGAAGCCAGCTTTGTTGATGCCTAATGTTGTTGTTCCTTTCTCAATCACGTCACCCTGCATGTCAACTTTAGCTAGTGATGAGGCAGTTATCTCCCCATAGTTTAATCCAAATGGGTTCAGCAGGAAGTGCTCTTGTTCTTGGTTTATCCTGACCTGTAAACAAAATACTACACTGTGGAAATAGGTGCAAAACGATCTTATTATTATCAGTTTCTACATCAATGCCTTATTAAAAAATGATATCTAAAACAAAAATAGTACATCCTGTGGACTTCTGTGCTACTTTTTCAATAATGAGCAAGAATAAATTTCACAATTTGTCCTATCAGCAAGTTTTAATAGTTTGTATTTTACTTACACTTACATGGTTGTTACTATCATTTACACAGACATGTTTGTTGCTATACCTACTAATAAGGTTGTTGATTTACTTACACTAATGTGGTTATAGATGCCGTGTCCCCAGCCATACATATCCACCAGTCTGTAACAAGCTGCCAGTTTACATCGGAGGAGCTTCTCTCCCTTGGAGTACCCCAGACCTTCTGTTCCTTTGATGTCATTGATGGGGATAACTGGGGCAGCTGTCAAAATTAACAGACATATATAAGACAAAGTCTGAAGATATATAAATATTTACCCAGATAAACATGCTCATTTCTTATATTATTTATTAAGACAATTTTTTGAATCACTTAATTTTTTTTATAAATTTATTTCTACTAAACTATCAACTGATGTAAGAGTATGTTTCAGTGGGACAGAATTAATTTAATGCAAAACAAACATCTGAAACTACAAATACTACATATATTTACTAATATAACAAAACGTCTTCTAACAATATTTTCATATTAAAAAAATCCTTTTTAGGGTATGAAAATGTACCCCAGTTGGAGAAAACCTTTAGATATGGGTAGGTTTTGTTTGTACGACAACACTGTTTAGTGTTTACTGTGCACTTCAAGTATTTATATCATTCAGTATGACTAACTCTACCTGCAGGTCAAAACATTCATTTTTATTCTGAACATTTCGGAGTGATACTTAAACATTAATATAATTCAGCTCATAAAAACCCCCACAATGATAAGACAATATTTTGGTTACTATCCCACACAAATAATGAAATGTAATGAATCACTGGCTACAAAAAATCAAGTGTAAGTGTGCACACCAGAGTAGACAATGTAAGCCTTGCCTTATTTAGATTCTGCTGCTAAAGCTGTTCATGTCGGCTGACATAACATTTTATTGACAGAGATCAATAAACAAACAGAAATACACATTCTTTGATCCAAAACCACATGCAAACCAACTAATGAATAATTCATATGAAATCAATATCTGAATGTTACGGCCAGACAAAACAAGGAATTAGCCAACCACTTAAGGAGAAAAGAACATCAACAGGTTTCTGTGGAAACTAAAACTTCATAAACCGGCACGAACTTAGTAATAAAGTCTCTTCAATTCTGTACAATAGACCTGCTCTATTCAAGCTCTCCATTATTAGTCATGAAAATCTAATAAATTACATTACTTTAACATGTTTAAGGGCCAGAAAAACATGTTTCAAAAGAATTTCACTCATAAAAATTTAAGTATCATGAAGATAAATGGGATTTGACTGTTTTACTAGGCACAAAGGAAATAGCAACAGTCAATGAATCTTGTTTGTTATACATTATCTTTCTGACCAGGTTACAACACAAGATCTGACTAATCCTTAAGGTGCAAATATCAACATCATAAAATATACCACTCTACTGCATTACCTAAGTTATCTTTTTGAAAGAGTATATCTAGAGTAACACATATAAGGTTGTTAATTCCTCACTCTTAAGAAGAAACATGCTCAGACTCTACATAACATTATGTCAAATGTATATCTGCACAAGGTAGTAATGTAATATTAAACTGACATCATTATGACTTCATATATGTTATAAAATTTTAATGTGAATTAGTTAAATTTCTATTAGCTATCAGATGACCATATTAATTTTGCATTAGTCTTAATTACCATCGATTTACTTCATATCAATTCACTGCTAATGAATCAAAAATTTAATGCATTCATGTAAACAGGGCAGTATACTGAATGTTTACTTGCTACCAGACATAACATAGATGTATATTCTGCCATTTACAGCTTTACTTGTATGTTCTAAACCCATTGCTTCTTTTTACTGATTCAAGTTTTTATTTTAACTCTATGATATGTGGGTGTAAGACTTGTGAAGTTTTAAAACTATACATTGATTAAAAAAGCATTCCCTCTTGCTAAAGATCACACAAAAGCCATAATTTAGAATCTACACTACCCACAGAATGCTTCCACAAAAGTTTCAGCTTTTTTGGTCCAATGGTTCTTGAGAGGAAATCTTTTTAATGATCCTACCCTATTTTTGTCTTCTCTTGATTATCTCCCCTTGTAAGGGGGTTTTGACCTTGACATTTTAACAATTTAAACTCCCCTTTATCCAAAGATGTTTTGGACCAACTTTGGGTTTTTGAGAAGTTGAAAATTTGAAAAGTTTACAGATGGACAGATGGTCGGCAGACAGACATATGTATGACACTGATACTTACTCCCTCTGCCTATGAGTCCTGACTGACCCTTGGAGTGGGGCAGCAGCAGATCTGTGATTTGTTGGAGGGCCAGAAGACTAGCAGGGTGGGGACCAGACTTGATTGTTTCCTCCACCACTTCTTCCAGCTCCCGACGAAATGCTTCACTATTGAGGACCAGGGACACACGACTTCTGTCGTTCATCTGACGTACATCTTCCTTCACCTCGGCCGGACGCATCATCTCTTTAAGGTATTCCGGGTCATCTGGATCTGTCAATGACAATTTATATTGTTTTAATAAAACATGAATTTATATAGTACAACTAATACAAGATTTTTTTTTCTGTTAATTTCTCATGCACACTACAGGCTCTGGGATCATAAAACATTGAGCTCACTTGGTATGTATGGTGGAAAAAAAGAGACTGAAATCAAAAGTGAGCTCATCTAAGTATTATGGCCTGGAAGCCAGATGTGATGCCTTCAAATATGTAGGGTTAACTGGCTAAAATTTAAGAAGAAAAGGTGCAATCTAATTTTGGACACATTTCAAAGAGTATCTGTACTCAATTAACCTTCAGGTCAAGGTCACATGACATTATGGTCATGTTCAATGTAGTGTGGGGATGTCATATCCCCTTGTATATCAATTGGTCAGGATTAAACTCTGTTGCTAAGAGGCTGGAGACAGTAAATACCATTATACATGTACCAATTTAAACACTTATTACATTGATTTTTCGACATCCAATTTGGGTCCGAATATCGGCCCTTTCCCCTCTCAAAAATAACCGACAATTTCTTTTCCTTTTTTTCCCAACACAAAAACGTTGTTGTTTTTGTTATATTGAATTTTTTACGTACGACTTATCTAAAGTGGAACGCTTTTGTTCTCAGTCACTTAGACTCTTAAAATAACAGTTAGGAACATCAGATTACTCTAAGCGTTTACAAGACCTAGAAAAACACATGGGTCTCCTTGTGAAACTTGTGTGTAAATACATCGTTAGAAAGTATAAGATGCATGTTAGCTGGGGAAACATAGCTTTATTTGTAAATCCAAGTACATAGTTCTACAAGAAGCATCCCTGATACCACGAAAATCAAACTGTTTCTACATCCGGCAGATTTAATTAGTTTTGCAGAGAAAAATTGCAGCATTTTGTTTAGCTAGGGTAATTAGAAAGCTTTAATAATTACATTGAAAAATACATGATGTAGTAAATCATGTCAGATTATTCTATCTTAGACCATGGCTATTACAAGAAGGATTTTCTATTATGTCTACCAATATTGTCAGAGCAAAAAAAAAGGAAATACATGTATACTGATATAGGTTGGTCAAAGACAACTTTCAAAGATTTTAAAAAAGGTTAAAAATATAGAAACTGTTTAATTTATTGTTTTGTAGTAAATATATTGATAAATGATGTTACCTTAACTTACATAGTTTATTTTACCTGCCAATTAAGGTTACATGACAATTTTTAAAAATTTTCCCAATTTGATACAAATGTCGACAATTTTTCCCAATTGTAAAGGCCCAGGCCCCTTTTAAAAAATGTAGAAAAATCACTGCTTATATGAGTGAACAAGTTAACACATTATAATCCAGCACTTACACTATACCAACAGTCAACTGATAATGGATGGCTGGAACACCACTATCAAGCCAGAGCAATATGTAGCAAAATTTTTTGCAATTTCCATATTTTAAATCTTCCAAAATTTATCATCTTTATCACAGAATATTTGTTTCTGGGTGGGGGTTCCTTGATAATCTTATTTCCATGAACTGGCCCTGACTGATTATGGTACATTAATCGTCTTCATTCTATAAATAACTACACTTCTTCTTTCAAAGTTCTAGGATGATTAAAATAATGACTTCATATAGAGTTAAAAATAGAAAATCATGTCTGATGGTTTAGATAGGAACATGAAAAAAAAAGGATTTCTTAATTTTATATGCAATAGTTATAATACATTAATTTTATGCTGCATAATGGATAAACAGTCACTTTTATTTAGAGGTACTAGTCTGCTTGAAAGTGAGTAAGAAGTTGTGCCAGCTATATTTGTCAGCTGACTCAGTAATGAATTGTTATTGATTATCGGCATCATTTCTACATGTGGATCAAGTTTCAAAGGCCTGCAGCTCTAAATAACATGAATATCAATCTACAACAGACATAGGGAGACCAGAACAAATCTCTATCACTGAATTCATCTACATATAAACCAGCCACAATCCCAGAATTTATTTAATTGATTTGATTTACAAGTTCATTATTTCTAAAGGAATGTAAATAAACAGCTACACTGATATACCCCCTATTTACAGTTCTTATGTAACTATAAGAAAACAGTGAAACATTTTTCAATGCTTTGGTGACAATTGGACTGGAACTGTTAAAATTGACTGCTTTCAGCCATCTTGAAAGACAGAGACAGGAAAACTTTAAATAGAACCTTATATAGAAATAAATGTTTGGTAATTATATTTTTTAACTTGTGATCTCCCCATTTCAAAAGTGGGGAGTTGCTTGAAAGTCATCATCAAAGATTCTACTGTGCAGCTTGATCAAAAGAAAGATAGAATTGTGTGTGCTAAAAAAAATTATACAATATTTACATAATAAATGATGCATAGTTTGAAGCCACATGACATTTTCTTTGCTGGGATGGTAACATTTTATTAAAAATAATCATTTATTAATGCACACAATATGGATTTGAAGCTTTATTAATACATGCATTACTAAGGGTATAACAAAACAGTCTGCCTTGGGTGTCAGTTTGTACACTGGTCCAACAGACCAACTGTTTCCCTCAACCCTTGTCAGATACTTTTTGCATAAAAATGCTGTCATGTTCTATAAAAAGATAACCTCCATTATACCACACATGGTCTTTTTAGGGTACCCCTCTAATACTGTCCAAAAAATTTGTCATTTTTCAACCTCCTATATAGTTAACTGAGGTTCAATGGAGGGCCTGTGTCAGTGACATCTGAGGCAATTACTGGAGGTATCATTTAACACACAGACCCTCAGTCTAACATTCACAGGTCATAGCAGCCTCTCTACAAAGTCTTCCATTTTCTTAACCCTCCCTTCTCCTAATAAGCACATGACTTCAGTGTACAAGTAAGGTAATCTAGCTCTGAAGCCTGGCAAGTCTAAAGCTTTTGGTCAACAATAGCAGGCTATTAACTCCACACAAAACGTGTGACATCACTGATAAGGCAAGACAAGGGCCACCACATATCTGATAACAGGCATCTCCTGCTGTCTGGGGCCAACCAGGGTCAATCTCAAAACACTCTGTTCTATGTGGTTAGAATCAGGGGATTTGGGGATATTTTTCAATTATAGACAAGAGAGAAGTAATCATAAAACACAGTTCACTGCTGAGAGCTGGTAATAACAGCTGGCAAATAGATACAGCACACTCTAAGCATCAACAATCACTGTTACATCTAGCCTGCATTCCACACATAATATAACCCTCATTACCGATTATCAGTGGTGGATCAAAGAATTTACACTAAGAAGTTAAGTTTTATTTTAAACTTATCAAAGGTGGATCAAGGAGTTTACACACAAAAGTTAGGTTTTATTTTTGGAGATACCAGGTCTTAACACCATTATCATGATTATGACTTGAGACATGTGCCTAATTTATTACATGTTCAATAAAACATTGTTTTCTCTGGACTGAATGTAGTAACATTTATGGGGTTGCATTGTGGTTTTTTCCACTAACTCAAAGAGACAGCTAAATAGCTTTGTGTTTCGAGTGGCTTTAAAATGTCAGAGGCAACCCAGCAAGAGAAAGGGAGATAAATGTGTTAATTAGGCCTAGCTATGATATAACATGGTTCACATCAAAAAGAGCTTCACAATCAAGTGGAATATAGGCATGTTTTCCACTAAATTAAGAACATAAGGTCAACTAATGAACTTATAATGGGATGTCAGATCAACTCTGTGCCTGGGAAATAAATAGATTATCATGAATATCAAATCTGCTTTTTACGAAGGCACTCAGGTGAACGGGATAAATGTGTCATCTAAAAATATCTAAAAATAATCTCTTCCTGCATATTATGAACAACATTAATTAACTGTGCAAGGAATCCCCAGCTTTTAACATCTACATATATTTGGCAATTAGGATAAACATTCAAATGAAAGAAAGTAAAAATATATTCTTCATTTAATTTTTTTTTTAATCTATTCAATCAATTTTAACTTTTTGCCTACCATCTACTTTTGAAACATCCCCATTGTGGGTATGTTTCATTAAGATATAAATTCCAGTAACATTTTTTGAATCAGTTTACATTGTAACAGTACTCTTAAGAAATTTAAACAGTGTCCTATTCCATTTAAATATCCAAAAACACCCCCATTATCTGGAATAAAATACAAAACAGGTCAGACATACTTGAGTTCTCCAATTAACTCTGTCAAAAATGACCCAATTATTATTCTAGGACAGCTCTTCATCACACAATGAACATTCTTTTATTTTATATGCCATTATCTTTACCTGCTGCTTTTGGGAAATTTTAAAGATCAATAGTTTCCTGTATATTCCTCATATCATTTGTATCTCCACCACACTGTATGTCAGAAAGCTTCTACATCACTTTCTTTTCTGGCCAGAGATTCTTGAGAAAGAGATTTTATTTAACCTTCCCCTTTGCCTTTTCTTGATTATCTCCCTTGAAGCAGGGTATGACCCTAAATTTGAACAAACTTGAATCTTTTCCCAAAAGATGCATTGTGCCAAGTTTGGTTGAAATTGGTCTAGTCGTTCAACAGAGGACGATGAAAATGTGAAAAAGTTTGTGATGACCTGAATGATGATAGACAATGGATGAGTTTTGATCAGAAAAGCTCAGCTTGACAGTTCACCTTAGGTGAGTTTTAAAACAAAACAACATTCCATAAGTGTGCATCATCAATATCATTGTGTGCACAGTGACAATTTCAAGGTCTTCTAAAATGGCATACTATAAAACCTGGGTCATCTGTATGAGAAACCTTGATTAGTCTGTAAAACTAAGCTTACCTATGGTGTCTATATATTTCCCAGTGCTAGGTCCATTCATATGTGCTGTACCGTTAGACATCTTTCTGGGCTTAGCACCTGTCAAAATAAACAAAGAATGTACTATGTTTACACCGTCATCAAGTTCTGATGGAAGAATGTATCAAAATATTTCAAATTCTACATGGAATTTCTAAGTTGATAATGTATAACTTGATTTAGAATTTATGCTATCTACACTTCATACATTAACATACTATCAGCAAACACTTATTGAATGACTTCATTTCCCTCCACCCTCAAGGTTTTTCTAGATAATAGTTAAGACTTAGCTCAGTTTGGGGACATATTTTTTGATATCACAACTCCAGAATGAACAGATTCTCTCGAAAATATCATACACAACAGCAAATAAATAAGAGATAAATGATTTTTTTTTTTTCAAATTTTACAAAGGTTAGTTCTTCAGTTCATCATTCCTACTATAAATTGATAATACATGTACTGCAGTAATTAAAAGCAATATACATCACTCATTTAGTCTCATTACTGCTTCAATACATACTAATAAGCATAATTCATCATCTGGTTATCTACCATATAAGTATGTCTAGGTCACCATCAAATGTTTACACAAAGGTATGGTCCTGTGTTATTTTCTGACATCTGATTCAGAGTAATTGATAATCCAATTCATTAATATTTGCTGAAATTGATCAATAGCACAGCTCACTTTAAATGATCAACAACATCACCCATTAAAGACAAACACAATACATGCAGTCTGTCCTACTTTGCCCTAACAGCTTCATTTACTGATCAATATGTTTTTATAAAACCAATGACTCACACATCCCTTTTACAGCCTAGCTAATTCATCTCTTAACTTCTTCTGCAACCATAAAACTAGATTACAGTGCTAGCATTTACCGGATTTAATTTATTTGAAAGTTTTTTATCATCCACTAAAATAAGGTTGATTTTAAAAATAATGAAAATCAAGATCTGCCATAAACCTAGATATGATAGTTAAAGTCCTAGCCATATGAACAGCAAGTTACACAAACCTGGCATGTAGTACTGATATCATGTACCGGTACACACACAGTTCACACCCCTGTAGTACCGATAGAACAAACTACATGTCTGCCAATGAATGTTTCACAGATGCTCCATAAACATTACACATCAGAATGCTCTGATAGACAGATTCTAGCTACAATCTATTTATATTCATAATTACCCTTTTACAACAAAATTTATATAAACCAGCAATAACTCTTAAATGTTGACTAAACACAAAAAATTGTCCCTCCCTGGCGTTAGAGCTCAATAACTGCTTGATGTAACGTACCTCACAGACATGACCTGAATCTAATTACAGACATCCCAGGAATGCACCAGCTAAACACAATATCGGGAGGCTGACTATACCATGAGAATCTTCACTGGCAGCGCCCCGCTTATACAACAGCAAACTGTACAGCAACGTAAATGTCAAGTAGACTCATAATTACTTACATGGCCCATTTAATTACAAAACTTAACCACTGCTGAAGGAAAAAAAGAACTTTGACCAAATCCAAGGTTTGCATTTAGAACTTATATGCAATCTGAAAATGTAAATATGTGTTTCTTAAAAACATTGCATTGACTGTAAACAAGGAAAAACATGTTTCTTTATTTAGTAACAAGACAGGTAATCCTGGTAATAGAGAGTATTCAATAGGCTTCAGTGTTTCTTCCATCTGTAAAACTCACTTACTAGTAGCCTTTGTTATCACAGCACGGGCAAAAACCTTCTGATAAAACAAACAAAATGGGGCCTTTGAATTCTGACACCTGATAAAATATATCCCAACACTCTGGTATCAAACTTCTGATATTTTTTCCTCCCCCTTACAGATGATTTTTCAATTCACTCTAAAAGCCATAAAAACTGGTACAAACTGCTTTTATTGACTTAGATGAAAATGTGACTTAAGTTTTTAGATCAATCCACTTGGCAGGGGTTAAAATTTACCTTAAACACGTTAAATGTGTCATTATCTTTTTAACTTTAAACACAAAAGAAATTTTATTTGAATGACACTTTACAAACAAATCTGAATGCTGTACTTTATATTATATCATCAGAAATATGCAAATATCTTTACCTAACATTCATAAGTAACATTCAGAGTTATATATTATACATCAGGGGTTAAGAAGCACATGCAGAAGTGGCTGAAGATATTTGATAACTATCATTCCATCTGTAAAAACAAACTAAATGACACTAACAAAACCATAAAACTACATTTGATGCCAATGATTTGAACAAATCATGATCACTTACCAAAAGAAATAGTAAAGAAAATGTGACTCTAATTCAGCTGTTGTCTGCTTCACCTAGCATGACCTATAATGAAAATGAGGGTAGACTAAAATATCATCACAGATACTGAAAAAGTCATGAAAGAGAACAACCTATGTACGGCACACTACTGTATTAGTTTTATATATGTACTTGTTTATGTCTTCATGATCACTTTTTAACCATCATACAATATTTGACAATGTTCCACTCCCTGTTGCATGTTAATGAAAGAGATACATTCACACAGTGACAACTCCAGAATACCCTTGACAGCTTGAGCTTTCAACAAGTCCACACACTGAAAATATCTGAATGCATAAAGTAAGCTAGTGCTGATCAACATTATGATAAAATCTATCTGTGCACTCTACAAGACCCGCATGTGTACAACTGAGCTCTCAATCAATGAAGTCTGTGTTTATATTCCAGTACCCACACTGTAAATCACCGATTCTACTGTACACACAGACCTTCATTATATAAAACAGAAATATCTAGTTCAGATCAAACAATCTGCTGTGTAAGCTCAGATCAATCAAGATTTCAAATTCCACTAGACAACTTAATGCAATAGCATTGTTTGTCTGTACAAAAATTGTCATCAAGTTAGAATTGTATACTAAGATTTGTATAAAAATAATTTTTTGAATAAGAGTTAAAATTTACTCTAACTTTTACAATACATTGCCTTTGAACAAACATGTTAAAAGAAATCAAAATCTATGGTTTATTATATACTGCTTATTAGTACATGTAGACTATGTACCATAAAAACAAATCAGCACAGAAGTTGATGATCATACTTAATCTCTACTTCCATCAAGTACTGACAATAGTCACTCCAACACACCCTAATTAGTGACTGTAAGTACACAGTAGTACTATACTGAGGGCAGCTTCTGAGAAGAACTGCTTTTTTTCTTAGGAAAATTATCTGCTTCCCTTCCTTTTAACATATGCAAGATCACTCAAATTTTTTTTATATGCAACAGTGCTGAAAAAATTATGTAATGTGCACTTGTCTTCTTTTGCTGTATCTAAAAATTTGATAAAAGTTTAACATACAAATTGTGCAACAGGGAAAGTTAATAATAAGTTATTCATTTATTGTGCTTTGTTAATACATCACACAGCACAAATATAAAGCCTTGTTATATACTTGATGAGTAAAGGAGTAGTTTTTTGACTGATTTTCAGATTCTTCTTATTTGACTGATTGCAGCTAGAACTTATTCATCAAAATCTTGTTCTTAATTATGGACTTACTTGGCCTTGTACAGTCTACTTATAACTCAAGTACCATGTTTTCTTGAATTAAGATCAATCCTTTGAGAGAATTATGAATCTATCTTGGTGTAGTGAAATTGTGTTTATAAAGTTTAAGTTTACAAATGGACACAGTGTTAAATAAAGTGCCCCGCCACAGCATGATACGCCCGTCAAATATTGTTCAATAATCATGAATTGGTTAGGATGCAAGAAAATCAGGTAGCCTTGATTAACAGATTGACACAGATTTCAATTATCTAATTTCCATTTCTTATCATACTTCTCTAAGAGCCTTATATATAGTTACAGTGTATGGACTGATTATAAAAAATAATACATCATATAATTCTAAACTGGTTGTGTTAGAGCATAACAATATCCATCTGCAGCTTTAAATTGTTTATTGCATATTTTATGAAATGCTAGTCTGATAAAAATCAAACATAAATTATTCTTCAGACTATAACATGACTGCAATTTGTTGCAAATATATAAAAATTGAAACATAATTTTTTTTTTCAATGAACACATGTATAATAAGTTTTAATCATATTATACTACTAATTTATTTTTAATCATACACTAAAACATCAATTTGTTTTAATTACATTTCACCAATTGAAAGATAAAATTTGGACTAGCCATCAAGAACTCTTAATTAACACAAGCAACTATGAGGCCATTTCTTTTTGCCCAACTCCCAAGAGATAAATTAAGATTACAGCTCCATCAGATCTAGAGTTGCTCTTAGCTCCTGATAATAAACTCATTAATTTCTCTCTAATTTGACATGCAAATTTCTGCTATCAAAATTCTTCTTGACCAGTGCTTGATAATTATGCCCATGGGACAAACTGAATTCCTCTCAAAGCATAAACATTTGTTACAGATTGCTGTAAAGTATATAATGAAAAAATAAGTTTTTACTTAATATAACATTTTTTAATAAGGATACAACTATATTTTTACATTTTTTAGGATTATGCAATTAAAAATTTAAAAAACTTAGGTTTTTTTTTTTAATTCACTTTAATTAAAGGTCACAGTGACCTTGAATGGGCTGTGACACACCTTCTACTTTAGATGCATACTTTTGCCAAGTTTGAAAGATTTAGGTCTAATAGTTTTCTAGTTATGAGCAGGACAGGATTTTTCCATATTTGGCTATAGCATCATTGTTGCAAATATATAAAAATTGAAATATAATTTTTTTTTCAATGAACACATATAATAATTAGTTTTAATCATATTATACAATACTAATTCATTTTTAATCATACACTAAAACACCAATTTGTTTTTAATTACATTACACCAATTGAAAGATCTTTATCTGGACAAACCATATCAAGAACTCTTACTTAACACAAGCAACTATGAGGCCATTTCTTTTTGCTCAACTCCCAAGAGATTAATTTAGATTACAGCTCCATCAGATCTAGAGTTGCACTTAGCTCCTGACAATAAACTCATTAATTTCTCTCTAATTTGACATGCAAATTTCTGCTATCAAATTTCTTCTTGACCAGTGCTTGATAATTATGCCCATGGGACAAACTGAATTCCTCTCAAAGCATAAACAATTGTTACAGATTGCTGTAAAGTATATAATGAAAAAATAAGTTTTTACTTAATTAAACATTTTTTAATAAGGATACAACTATATTTTTACATTTTTTAGGATTATGCAATTAAGAATTTAAGACTTAGTTTTTTTTAAAAAATTCACTTTACATAAAGGTCACAGTGACCTTGAAATAGGCCGCGACACACCTTCTACTTTAGATGTATACTTTTGCCAAGTTTGAAAGCTCTAGGTCAAATAGTTTTCTAGTTATGAGCCGGACAGGATTTTTCCATACACACATAGCATCTTTATTAAAGGTCATAGCGACCTACTTTTTGTGCGCGACACACCGTCTACCCAAGAAGTATAAGTTGACAAAGTTTGATAATCCTAGACCTAATAGTATTCAAGTTATGAGCCGGACAGGAATGGACAGACGGACAGACGGACGGACGGACGGACGGACATGAAGCCTATAACATAATACGTCCCGTCTTAAGACGGGCGTATAAAAAAACTGTACATGTAGGCCTAAACAGAATGTAGATGATCTCATTTAAAACTTAAGTTTAAACTGGCCTGACTCATGTAGCTGTCATCTTATTATGTCTAAGATGAGAAGTAAACATTTCAACTTTTTATCGTGTTTTCGTACTAAAACATATTTGCCAGACATGAGCAAACCATCAAGCACCTAAATATATAAGGGAGACAGTAATATAATGTGATGTTTAAGATTCAGTCTCTCTATGCTATATAATAAACCTCAGTTTCCTCACTTGTAAAATTTGGCTGTGAGAGTTGTAGATATGACATTTGAAGTAGGATATATAGCAACATCAGGTTGTCTGTCCATCCTGCTGGCTATCCAGGATATAGATAATGTAAAAGATCAATATCACACTTGGCGCAAAAATTGTCTCAGACCAGGAGATCTGCATCACCTTTAAAGCTATTATCATTTAATAAGCAATGTCACTTTTGTCAAAATGGTCCTAAAGATTCTTTTTTATATAAAAAGATTTGTAACTTAATACATGTTAATGAGCAACATCCGAAGCACCTACTTTTCACAAATATGTGACACATTGGGTGTGTCAATGACTACAGAAACTACAGTACTTATACATACACTGCTTATTAAACTTGAGCAGAAATTGTAAGACACATAGCTTTAAAAGCTATATACAGAACTGAAAACTTCTCTATACTTTCAGCTAAAAATTTACTCATTGCTTACCAATTTAGTGGTAACAGGTAGCAATAATATATCCCCTTTGAGAAAACTAATTACTTAAATGGAAAATGGACATATTTTCTTTCTTTTAACCTTTTAATATCTATTGGGCATTCATTATTTCTCTGAAGAGTAATAGACACTAGTACAATATGGACAAGTGGTTATGAATACAATCTTGCAGTTCAAGTACTCGTGGCATTTTTTCCCCTCAGCATGAATATATCAAAATAATTCCACTGTTAATTGTAATTTATACTGATATTCATTCAGTAGTCAGTATAGTATAAATCAGGAACTACTAGTAACAGCGTCTGACTTGACATTAGTTTAAAACAATCACCTATGTCCTTTATGTAAATGTTCCCAATGACAAACAGATATAGTAGAGCTAGGTCTTCAAGTGCTTTCCTCAATTAGTAAGTTATACATATTACTCAAGTATCCTTTTCCTGAAATTTCTTTTGAAATTTTCATCAATACATAGAGTTGAAAAAACAGTATTCAGATCTATAATTATAAAACACTACACAGAATCACAGATTTAAAAAGAAATGTTAGAAAACTTCTATGTCAATATCTTTGTAACTCTTTGCACCTCTAGTCTAGTATACCATCTTCATTTACATCTCAGTGATGCAAGAATCCCATATGAATTATTGTCAGTGTCTCAATAATGTGACTATATGTCTAACATAAAGGTCAAACTCCGCTGGGTCAAATACTCTGAACTCAAAGGAAAGGAAAGCATAATTGAAGTCAAATGTTGAACAGCAACAAAACTATACAAAGCCGCGCTCCTTAATGTCAAGTGATCAGAGACATCCAAGAAGTTCTGATTATAGGAAAGGATTTCCAGAATTGTTAAATGTTCAAAATTAATACAACAAACCATTTTCATTACTACGAGTGTGGGAAACCTAAATTATGATCCAAATAAAGACGATAATTCAACAGTCTAGGACGAGGCTTTGCCGAGTCCTAGACCGTGAATGTTGGCCCCCAGGTGGAATTTAACTATTCCCACACGAGTATGTAATGAATGATTATTTTTGCGACATTATTTTATCCAAAATAACGGCCTGTCAATGACGTCGCCATAGGGCTAAAAAAATATTTTTAATTTTCCATCTATTTAAAAATCTGAATACCATCGGAAAGAACGTACCTGAAAATGGTTTACACATTGTGTAAACTGATAAAATAATTTTCAGTCCGTGTAAATTAATCAGAAAGATAAAAACTGAGAATAAAAAACTTATCTATCCGACAGCGTAAAAGAAGAATCATTCCGCGATCTAAAAATAGTGCCGTTAAAAAAGAGAAAATACGACAATATTTTGAATGAAAATAAGTTTATATTAATAAGTTAAATGACAACAGTTTAATTATGTGTTATATTTTGTTTACATTGTTACAGTTTCTTTATATAATGACGGAACGTTTACGTTCTCGTTCGTGGCGTAGTAATACACAGTGTAAGACAGAAAAATCTCACACTGCTGTCTCACACCGGACAAGTCAATCTTACACTGGTGATTATGCGAGAAAAAGTTGTACATCATAGCCTCTCGATTTGTTGCCATTGGAAGGAAAATAAATTGTGTCAATAAGGCTAAAATAAGTGAATAATCATCAATTACAACGTAACATTTGACAGACCAAACCAGGATTTGAACCCAGGCTCCTTGAATCAAGTGATCTACCAACTAGGCTATCTAGCCGCTGGCCATCAGATATGTCTGACTACCACATTCCTCCCTCCTTAATTAAAGGTCTGCCCCCTCAGGCACCCCTACAGACAATCAACCTAGACTCCTCCCAAGCAGGATGTCTAGGACACATCCCAGACTTGGCAATGACACCAAATGTAACAGAAATGGGGGGAAATTATGTTGGGTCAGAAAGGATTCCAGCTGGCATCCCCTGAATCACCAGCCAGGAGCTCTACCGTCTGAGCTATCTGAACACCAGCGATCAAACCTGCCTGACCACCACAAGGACAATTGAACACTTATTGAATAGAGAATGGGACAGTATCTAGAATATACACTCCCTGAACTGTTTCATCAAAGTATAGGTATCAGTAGGATATACATGTTATCCTGACTTCAAAAATCTAAGAAGTAGGGGGAGGGGAAACAACATCCATATACCCAGGCCATCACTTAGAAACATTTTTATTTTCAGTATTCATATCAGGCAACAGAGAGACTGGACCTTGGACTCATAAATGCCTTACATAAACACAATATACTTTTTTTTCCTCTAAAGAACAGCTAATGTTGGGCTTAGTTAAGTTAACATCAGCTGGACATATTGTTATTACTTACTATACCGCAATCATGTCAAAGTGCTTGGCTGCAGACACAGCTTAGCTAGCATGTTATTAGACTAATGCTCCCAATGACTTTGCATTTGATATTGAAATGATAGTCGTATACATAAATAGATAAATTAATGAAGGGGGAAAATCATAAACACATTAATAACTTCTGCTCCATCTCTCTTGCCTACTCTGATTACTATTTTCTACATCTTACTTTGAAGAGAGATAACATTTCATGGTGAGTCTACAATTTGGCTCGGAACTGATAACATGAGCCAGCTACTGAGGCAGCGGAACGCTCCAACAATCTCAGATAAACAACTCCCCGCTGAGAAAACTCGACCTTGCCTTGCTAGATTTTCGACGCGAATGTATGCACTAGAACGTTAAACATGCTAAAGGGTTTTATACTATCAGACTGCTTTCCAAATCATTTCAAATAAAATGCACTTGTGTAAACATATATAACAGGAAAAAACAAACAATCCGATCAATCAATGAAACTCAATCGATTGTCTGGCAGACAGGAAATCAAATCTTTACTGAAAATCGCACACCACCGTGTCGGCGACGATGTTACGCCCAAATATTTTTCTTCAGGCAAATAAGAATGTACAAGCTCAAGCATCTAAAACTTACCCTCGGAATGATATCAGTCAGGTGATATATCTATTTTTCTCGAAACATGCACAAGAACGGTAGTATTCCTGCCAAAACTGACCCAGAAACAGCTTGGCTTTCCTGATTTTCACATCTATAATTAGCTTGTATGGCTGTTCCAACAATTGAACACACCTTTTTACCGAGTGTAACAAGGTAAAATTACTATTTGTACATTAACGTTTCTTTGTATTGAGCTTAATAAATTCGTCCATATATATTTTAAATAAATGACACACTTGAAGTCTTTGAAAAGCCTCTTTTATTTTACCGGAAGTGCATTTGTTGTAAAAGCGGAAGTGCATACATTACAGTATGACATCACCAATGGTATAACTAGGGACCGTATCAAAATAAATTTTTCTATCCTGAAGGCAAACTATGCCTCCCTCCCCCCCCCCCCCCCCCCCCCCCAAAAAAAAGGGTGAAGATTCTAAAGAAGAAAACTCAATATAAAAAAAAACTCCAGGAAAAGGGAGGCATGAGAAAAATATACAAATGGTGCACATTACATTGAAAATCTTAATTCTGCACTTAAGGATATCTGCTCCTCAACCAGGATGGATAACTCTTTTTTTTATTACTTAAATGAAAAAGTCTCATACTGAACCTTGAAAATGAAATCTGAATTACCTCCCAACCCTTTATAGTTGTCTCTAAAGACCGATAAACTTATAATATAGCTTGCTTGTTTTGAATTTTCTGCCATCCAACTAAAAAATCGAAACAATTATTAGTGTAGAGATGGCTTGTATAGCTAGATTAAAATAAAAATGTAAAGTTGGTGAAAGTATGTGTATGGAGTCAGGGAATGATAGAGAATTTTGGTTTTATATATTAGTCTTTGACCATAATGCTACATTAAAAGAAATCTGCTCCAAAAACTTTAACCCAAACTTTTAAATAATTACCTGCATGGTTGCTCATCTGGAAAATATGTCAGATCCTGCATCTGAAGCTTAACATTCCATTGGTGTGCATTATCAATGCAAGTCTGACCAACATAAGGCTTATAGTTATTTTCGAATAAAACTGCTCTAAAAACTTTAACCAAGCTGAAGCAAGCCTGGCAATGTGAAATTATCCTTTGATATTAGTTTGGTCAATATAGGGCTTATAATCACTTGGAAGTGAGATCTCCTCTCAAAACTTGAACCTCACAGGTTATCATCCAGAAATTGTAGCTATATAGGTCAAATCCAACATCCAAAGCAAACCTCACGTGTTCATCTTCTAGCATGAAATATATGGAGGTCAATAAGGAACAGTATTCAAGCTTATAAGTCAATTAAACAATACGAAATAGGAGAAGAGCAAATATGGACCTCTAAAAGATTAAGAAGTGGGATCAGGTGCCATGAAGGAGTGAACATCCCCTGCCAAATGGTCACATGCACCAGTCATGTGCTCTCTGTCACGATCCAACTGTAGGAGGAGTAGCATTTTGAACGTTTTTCATAGAAATTTCTATTTTAAGAAACCATGGCAACACCGTTCATCGAAATAAAAAACTGATAAACAAAATTATGTATCTTAATGTAGTCTACTTATGTTCCAAGTTATACTGAAATCAAACCAAAACTGTACTTGGAGTAGCATTTTGAATGTTTTTCACACAAATTTCTCTTTTCAGTAAACATGGCAACACCGTTCATCGAAATCAAAAAACCAATGCACAGAATTATGTATCTTAGTGTAGTCAGCTTGTGTGTCAAGTTACATTGAAATCAGATCAAAACTGTAGAAGGAGTAGCATTTTGAATGTTTTTCACAGAAATTTATATTTTTAGTAACCACTGCAACACTGATCATCGAAATCAAAAACCGTTAAACAGTATTACGTATTTTAGTGTATTCTACTTGTGTGTCAAGTTATATTAAAATCAGACCAAAACTGTAGGAGGAGTAGCATTTTGAAAAAATTGTTTACAGACAGACAGACAGACAGATGAGGGACACATTACTATCGCATAAGCTCTTCTGGTCTCTGACCAGTAGAGCTAACAAGAGGCCCAGGGGCCACAGCGCTCACCTGAGCACATTGGCTAGTAGGAAAAAGCACATATCAGATCAGAACTGAAAGTTTACTGGGGGGGGGGGGGGGGCCAAAATTTTAACCCCAAGGGGTTCATGATTTGAACAAACTAGAATCTACACTACCTGAAGATGATTCCATATTAATATCACTAATCAGCTTTGAAGTACTTGAAAAGATGATTTTAAAAGGTTTCCCTATAAATCCCTATGTAAAACTTGGGTCGGCCATTTTGGCCCCACCCTAGCCCTGGGGGTCATGATTTGAACAAACTTGAATCTACACTACCTGAGGATGATTCCACATGAGTTTCATCTTTCCTGGCCCAGTGGTTCTTGAGAAGAAGATTTTTAAAAATTTTTCCTATATATTCCTATGTAAAACTTGGGTCGGCCATTTTGGCCCCACCCTAGCCCCGGGGGTCATGATTTGAACAAACTTGAATCTACACTACCTGAGGATGATTCCACATGAGTTTCATCTTTCCTGGCCCAGTGGTTCTTGAGTAGAAGATTTTTAAAGATTTTTCCTATATATTCCTATGTAAAACTTGGGTCGGCCATTTTGGCCCCACCCTAGCCCCGGGGGTCATGATTTGAACAAACTTGAATCTACACTACCTGAGGATGATTCCACATGAGTTTCATCTTTCCTGGCCCAGTGGTTCTTGAGAAGAAGATTTTTAAAGATTTTTCCTATATATTCCTATGTAAAACTTGGGTCGGCCATTTTGGCCCCACCCTAGCCCCGGGGGTCATGATTTGAACAAACTTGAATCTACACTACCTGAGGATGATTCCACATGAGTTTCATCTTTCCTGGCCCAGTGGTTCTTGAGAAGAAGATTTTTAAAGATTTTTCCTATATATTCCTATGTAAAACTTGGGTCGGCCATTTTGGCCCCACCCTAGCCCCGGGGGTCATGATTTGAACAAACTTGAATCTACACTACCTGAGGATGATTCCACATGAGTTTCATCTTTCCTGGCTCAGTGGTTCTTGAGAAGAAGATTTTTAAAGATTTTTCCTATATATTCCTATGTAAAACTTGGGTCGGCCATTTTGGCCCCACCCTAGCCCGGGGGGTCATGATTTGAACAAACTTGAATCTACACTACCTGAGGATGATTCCACGTGAGTTTCATCTTTCCTGGCCCAGTAGTTCTTGAGAAGAAGATTTTTTAAATATTTGTCTTATATATTCCTATGTAAAACTTGAAATCGGCCATTTTGGCCCCACCCTAGCCCCGGGGGTCATGATTTAACAAACTTGAATCTACACTACCTGAGGATGATTCCACATGAGTTTCATCTTTCCTGGCCCAGTGGTTCTTGAGAAGAAGATTTTTAAAGATTTTTCCTATATATTCCTATGTAAAACTTGGGTCGGCCATTTTGGCCCCACCCTAGCCCCGGGGGTCATGATTTGGACAAATTTGAATCTACACTACCTGAGGATGATTCCACATGAGTTTCATCTTTCCTGGCCCAGTGGTTCTTGAGAAGAAGATTTTTTAAAAATGCCATTAATTTTTCTCTAATTCATAATTATCTCCCCTTGGAAAAGGGCGTGGCCCTTCAAACTTGAATCCCCTTTACCCAAGGATGCTTTGTGGCAAGTTTGGTTGAAATTGGCCCAGCGGTTCTTGAGAAGAAGTCGAAAATGTGAAAAGTTTACGGACAGACAGACAGACGGACGCCGGACAAAATGTGATCAGAAAAGCTCACTTGAGCCTTCGGCTCAGGTGAGCTAAAAATGATGACTTTAAACCAGACTGCTGATATTCTTGTTTCATCAACTCGTTTTGTCAATAATTTACCTCATTTTAGAAATATTCATACTTACAGTATGCTCTTAGTTGTTAAATCAACCAAGTTTTATAAACCCAGGTTTGGTCAATAACTTAGTGCTTATAGATAGTTCAGATTGAGACTGAGCAAAAAACCTTAATCTGGTCACTCATTTTGTAAATGTAGGTCAAATCAAGCTTCTGAAGCAAGCTTGGTATATCTAGGCTCACAGTTTACTTGGAAATGAGAAGTGCTCCAAAACCTTATAACCTGCTCTAAAAACATTAACCTGGTCATTCTTTATCTGAAATTTCAGCATCTGAAACCCTGACTGGTACAATGAAACACACTAGAAGCATCTTCCATGTATCTCTGCATGATTAATGTTGCACGTACCAAATCCAGTACCTCTGAACTGTACTGTAATTAATGCATTTAAATTAGAAATAAATTTCCTTGTTAACAATTTTTAATTTATTGAAGACGTAAACTTTCATTAAATATCTTGACAAACAAAAATACGGAATGTACGAGACATGTATATAAAACAATAAAAGGCACATGTACAGAAAACTTAGCAACATCCATAAAAATACATTACTTCAATAAATTTGGGGAGAAGGAATGGGGGTGGGAAAATCTAAATATTAGGACTATGAGTCCATACAACATGAAGGCTCTATCCAAAGTCCATGTGTAATGAAAACATTAAAAACAAATGTACCTTGCTTCTTTCACCTAAGCTTAATAAATGCAATACAAGTATAATGAAAGAAGGAAAAACGTTCATTTTTTTAAATTTAGAAGAAAAACCCATATAGTTCAGGAGCTGTCTTTATGGTATAAATAGTATGTATATATACTAAGTTGTTTATTCAGCTTATATTTGTATCTACATATAACTTACAAGTAACAGTATTGAATTTCTATCTTCAGTTTGTATCAATGTCGGATTTTCAACGAAAAAATCCCCTTGTGAGATTTTTACAGGTATAATTGTTGTGTTTATGTTGTTTAATGTCCCTCTCAAGAATTTTTCACTCAAATGGAGACACCATCACTTGCCGGTGGAGAGCTGCAAATTTTGTCCTAAACTCGGCACTTACGGCCATTGAGCAGTGAGGGATCTTTATCTTCTGCGGTCTTCACACTCCACAATGGTATTCAATGGAATTCGAACCCAAGATGTAAGGATCAACTTTGCAACTCTAGAGCAGACATTCTAACCACTGCGCCATGTGGGCATTCAGTTAAATGAGATGGATACGCAGTAAATCGAGGCTTCAAATCTAGACCTTTACTTGGCATTTTGGGCCACTGAGCAGCAAGGGCTCTCCATTGTGTCAATGCTTGGCTTGGAACAAAAAGTGAGTTTTCAATCAATTCAGCTATCATGTCAATCCTCACCAATATAGTAAGGTCAACTAGGTCAAAGGGAAGGTCAGGACAAAATAAACTGATACTGTAACAGTTGAATAGTAAGCTCTAGTGTATGTATTTTGATAGAATTCTTTGAAACCGAGACAAAGGGCAGACAGACGGGAAGGCAGACGTGACAAACACTATATGTCCTTGCCAAATCTGAAGTGGGCATTAAATGCAAAACATCACTCTTTCCAAAATTGCTATAAATACTCAATATTTTCTGTAAAAGCATAAAAATAAAGCAATTCTAGCAGTATAAAGATCTCATCTCAAAACTATATTGAACATCAGATGCCAGTTTAAAGAAACATCAAAAATTACATTCACTGTAAAACAATTATAATTTATGCCATATACAGCAATTATCACTTTAAAACCTGTAAGTTTATGTGTCATAAATATGAAAGCAATACAGGGTGACATAGAGAATGATTGACTCATTTATAACATATAGTTGTTATACAAATGTTGAGTACATAAATAATGCATCCCACAATATGGGGAAATAAGCTGAAATAAATGTCTTGAAATAAAATATACACTCCATACATGTATCTGGAGACATCATTTATAATAGAAATACCAGGTATGCAACGTTCATTTCTGTAGGCCGAACCAAAAAACCTGGCTGAGCAAATTCTGAATGTAAGTTTCTTCTTATACAACACTGTACTGAACACATTCATTAGAGAGTTAATAGGTGGATTTCTCATTGTTTATACTATACCCAAATATATGCACTCAAACAAAGCTTTGATATTCCTAAATAACTTAGAAAAAAATAATAAGAGTATAAGACGTGTAAAAAATAAAACAACAACAAAATCAAAACAACAGAAAAGCTGTCACAAAGGGATGACAGTAAAAAGAAATATTGCACTAGGATAAGGAACAAATAATTAAGAAATCATATGACTAGTTCACAGCATTTGGAAAAACAGAATTGTACATATCAATCTCATTTCCTCTTGGCTTCTATGGACATAAAATATCAACTTGAAAAATCAAGCTCAGTCGACTTGTTGTTGTTGTTGGAAACAATCTATTTCAATGTCAAAATTTTTAACTTAAGATGTAAAACACAAAAAAGTTTTTAATTCTACTGAAGATTTTCTGATAAATTCAACTTACACAGTTTTTTTCCCTTCAATAATGCAGTTCATGAAAGTTATAATTGGTGTAAGTTAAGATCTATGGGTAACAGAAAGTACCGGTATAAGAAAGTACATGTACTTTTAAAAATCAGCAAATGGCTGCTAGTATGTTGTTCTACTCACAAGTTGAATGTACAGAAACTGACTGTACATGATACAAACACATAATGAAACATACAATTTTACTCTATTAATTATTGCCTTGGCTGTAATATTGGGTGAGTTATAACTTGTTTCTTATTACTTGAACTATATATATGTATAACGATATTGTTTACTTCAGTTGACATTTCTAGTGTGTAAGATGTCATCATAAGACGTACACAGTTTTAATAAAGAAGGCAGTGAAGATGACCAACAAGCCAATTGGAAAAATATCAATTTCAATCCCTGTGTTAACTGACTGCTATTTACTAATTACATATTAGCTGACTTTTTCTTACATTGAGGCATAAAACAAAATCAGATATTCACTTTTTACAGAAAATGTTAAAGTCGAAAATTTTTTTGAATTCTCAATTCAAAGGCACTGATGATAATCAAAGCTTAGCTTTCCTTTTCTTTCTAAATTAATTACTACAGTGCCACTTTGGTTTTATATAGTTTCAACAACTGCAGTGACATATTTTTCAATTATATCAACAATTCTCCACTATTAAACTCACATTCAAGCCAAATAAATGTGTATCTATTTAAAGGGAGATGATTGGGGGGGGGGGGTGTTTCCAATTAATTCATTTTAAGTGAACACATCATTTATGGTTAGCTGTACTAATAAGCCATACGCTCTTTTCCCTAAGAGAAACAAACAAAAATGATGCTACTGCATCTCAACTATTACTGTGGTACTGCAATCATTGAAGTGGCACTGTGGTAATGACAAACAACAAGCTGTATTTTTTCATATTAGTATTTAGGTCATTAATTACATCTTGCTTTTCTTTTCACTATTATTGTATGACAAAAACATTCATTTAAGCTCTTCAGATATTAGTCTAAAAAAGTATGTACTATTTTGGTATTAATTCACCTAGCAAAAACAAAACATGTGATTTTCTATTTATGAACTGTGCAAATAATTTCCACCTTTTTGTCCATGAAACAAACATCAGAAAGGGAAACCTGCACAAATAAAATGTACGACTATTGCAGCAATCAATCACTAAAAAAATAACTGGCGTAATACCTGAGCTCTGTGTTTAAAAAAAAATGCATGTGCTTGAGTTGAAAAAGAAACTAAATTAAACATCATTATTATTCTGAAATAAAGAGATTTATCTTGTTATAGTGGGTAAAATAAAAAAGAATTTTACAAGCTTCATCTAAAGAAAACATAATACACCTGAGGTAGAAAAGAGGAAATATTGAATGGGAACATGTAATACCAACTTAACACCACAGCAAAACTAGTCATATTAAACAGTTTTACTGTTTATATATATTGACAAGAAATAAAAAAGGATGAAGTGGATAACATTCAATTGAGCAATCACTGACTAAGTTTGTAAGCTTTTATACATATAAAGTAATCCCTAGTATACCGTTACATTAACAAGGAAACTCACAAACAGGAATGAATCACTGATCCCAAACACAACAGCATACAAAATATTAAAGACTAGAATTATATATCCGCAGCAAAAAAAAGCACCATCACAATATAAAATATAACTTCATTTGCCATTAACACTGCACAATGTGACAGAGCACCCCTATACATGTATGTAACTAGAATCATGACTTACTTGTTTTGAAGTACCTGGTACCTTGTAGCAATATGATTTATAAAACACACAGGTACCCCTGAGCAAAGTTGCACAGCAACACTGGAAATTTATAACTATTTACCTAGCTCCTACATTACAAATGATTTTTAAGAATTAAAAAATAAATTATATATCGGGAACAAAATTCCATTCCATTGCAAAACTATGTTTTAAATATCTTTCACAGTTATATGATTGCTCCCTTGCACAATGAAAAATCAAGAATGCAATCAAATACTCATTTCAAAGTCAGCATTCTGATAAGAAAAAATAGATTTAAATAAATATATTTAAACATTGTAGCAATTAATTAAGATCTTGAAAGAAAAAAATCCTACATTCCTTCATACAACTGTTACATCAAAATTTCCTCTTTCAAATCTACATTTTCATTAGATGGAGAGCAAAATAAAGAGTAAATTTTCTCTTGATGATTATACCTAATGTAGGTATAGAAACCTGTCTGAGAGAGCCCCTGGCTTTAGAAGTTGTTCATAATTTTCCTGATCACTGCCTCCTTTACTCTGAACCTTATGCTGAAGTTTTCTTAGGAGCTCTGATGCTGGAGTATTGAGAGCGAATCCCGAGGAGTTATAGAGCCCCCCAAGACTAGCCAGCCCAGGACCCCCGGGGAGATAGGGGGCTATCCATCCAGAGCCCCCTACACTTGTCTTCTTATTTCCCTCCTTTTCATCTTTAGATTCCTGCTTTTTAGATTCCTTTTTCTCTGAGCTTGTTTTGCTGTGCTCTGTGGACTTCTTAGTGTTGTTGGGTACCGGACCTTGTTCTGCTTCCCTTTGCTCTCTCTGCTCCTTGATTTTTTTCTGTCGTAGGAGATGCCTCTCTTTGACCTTGTATTCCAATGTAGAATGAGGTACTCCGTAGTAACTCCCGGCTCTATGTACACTCATCTCACCTCTCTGTACTGCTTTAACTGCCTCCATTAACAACTGGCTGTTGTATTTTCTGTACTGACCCCGTTTTGGTCGTGTTTTCTTTGTTGGACTGTCAATGGATTTTTTCTTGTCTCCATCCTCGTGGCGACTTTTCTTGGCGGGTGATGGGGAGTTGACTTGAGAGAAGTCGTCAGATTCTATACTCCTGGCTAAACCCTGACATAACTCGGAAAGAGCCTGAGACTTGAACTTAACTTTCTCCGAGATTGTCTTCACAATAATGTCTTTCAATGTCTCCCCGACAGCTGCATTCTCGATTTTATCCAAAGAGCTCTGGAAATGATTATCAACCTTGCTATCCATTTTATGGTGCATTGGCTGAAAGGACGGTATAATGATATCTGATGAGCTCTCCAAGGGATAGACATCCGAGTTTCCATTTCTTGAGGACATTCTTGGAGAGAGTATCTTCTTCCCATTAAATTCTTCTTGCTTGCGAACTCTCAGAGCATTGCGCTCCATTTCTATTCTTTCCTCTGCCAATTTTTTAATAATGGTCCTCAAGATTGGAAGCTTTAATTCGTGAGAGTGCTGAGCAAGAAAGTTCTCCTTTTTACGACTTAAATTGTGCTTCTTACGAAGATATTCCAGCTTTTTTTCCTGCGATTCATAGTGATTTTCTAATTCAGCACCCCAGTCTATAGCATAAGGCATAGGAAATGGCAGTAATGCTATACTGGCCCCAGGGATTAAATCTGTCCACTTCACTGCCAATTCTGTTGGTTCCTCTATTTCAGGTGGCTATAGGAGAAAAAATAACAATTAAAATCATTGATATCCTGTGCAAAGCTTTCATTTCAATGATCTTTTGTATGAAAAATTTGTTTTTACTCAATTTTGAATGTTTGATTTTCTGTCCCTTTCATTACTTGTTCATTTCTTTTTACAGCATACGTTTTCAAATATTCACAACAAATAATTTACACAAAATAGGTATTTTGTTGTATTTATAAGCCAGACAAAATTTAAATGAATGCTGGTTATTGCTGTATATATCCTATGCCAATAAAAATATACACAAGAATGTAATTTTGCAAGCCAAAATCTCCTGTAATGATGCGACAATTAAGTTCTCAGGAATAAATAGTGATTTACGGTATCCCAAATAATCTTTGGTCTAAAATGTTCAGAAAATGATATACATATACTTACATGTACTACTGAGTCCTGTTTATCAATTCCCATCTTGAAGATTTTGTTGCGGAGTGTTGATCTAGGAATTCCATACAGAATAGAAGCTCGTCGTGTTCCAAGTTTTCCGCTCCGAATCTCGGACACGGCAGCCAGCAGCTCCTCGTCTGTGTAGGATTTCTTACAGTTGGCGTTTGTTGTCTCCCTCTTCTTGGGTAAACTAGAACTATCAAGGCATATCAATTAACATCTTCAGTAAACTAGAACTATCAAGGCATATCAATTAACATCTTCAGTAAACTAGAACTATCAAGTCATATCAATTAACATCTGTGGTAAACTAGAACTATCAAGGCATATCAATTAACATCTTCAGTAAACTAGAACTATCAAGGCATATCAATAAACATCTTCAGTAAACTAGAACTATCAAGGCATATCAATTAACATCTTCAGTAAACTAGAACTATCAAGGCATATCAATAAACATCTTCAGTAAACTAGAACTATCAAGTCATATCAATTAACATCTGTGGTAAACTAGAACTATCAAGGCATATCAATTAACATCTTCAGTAAACTAGAACTATCAAGTCATATCAATTAACATCTTCAGTAAACTAGAACTATCAAGGCATATCAATTAACATCTTCAGTAAACTAGAACTATCAAGGCATATCAATAAACATCTTCAGTAAACTAGAACTATCAAGGCATATCAATAAACATCTTCAGTAAACTAGAACTATCAAGTCATATCAATTAACATCTGTGGTAAACTAGAACTATCAAGGCATATCAATTAACATCTTCAGTAAACTAGAACTATCAAGTCATATCAATTAACATCTGTGGTAAACTAGAACTATCAAGGTCAGTAAACTAGAACTATTAAACTATCAAGGCATATCAATTAACATTTCAGTAAAAACTAGAACTATCAAGGCATATCAATTAACATCTGCAGTAAACTAGAACTATCAAATCAATTAACATCGGTAAACTAGAACTATCAAGGCATATCAATTAACATCTTCAGTAAACTAGAACTATCAAGGCATATCAATTAACATCTTCAGTAAACTAGAACTATCAAGGCATATCAATTAACATCTTCAGTAAACTAGAACTATCAAGGCATATCAATTAACATCTTCAGTAAACTAGAACTATCAAGGCATATCAATAAACATCTTCAGTAAACTAGAACTATCAAGGCATATCAATAAACATCTTCAGTAAACTAGAACTATCAAGTCATATCAATTAACATCTGTGGTAAACTAGAACTATCAAGGCATATCAATTAACATCTGTGGTAAACTAGAACTATCAAGGCATATCAATTAACATCTTTGGTAAACTAGAACAATCAAGGCATATCAATTAACATCTTTGGTAAACAAGAACTATCAAGGCATATCAATTAACATCTTCGGTAAACTAGAACTATCAAGTCATATCAATTAACATCTGTGGTAAACTAGAACTATCAAGGCAATATCAATTACTGTAACATCTTCGGTAAACTAGAACTATCAAGGCATATCAATTAACACCTTCGGTAAACTAGAACAATCAAGGCATATCAATTAACATCTTTGGTACACTAAAACTATCAAGGTATATCAATTAACATCTGTGGTAAACTAGAGTTATCAAGGCATATCAATTAACATCTTTGGTAAACAAGAACTATCAAGGCATATCAATTAACATCTTTGGTAAACTAGAACTATCAAGGCATATCAATTAACATCTGTGGTAAACTAGAACTATCAAGGCATATCAATTAACATCTTTATGATCCTCTGATCACCTAAACTTTTTTTTTTAAAATGTCATTTTTTCGATTTGAAAAAATTAAAACTTTGGCAATGATTGCATGGTGTATAAATCTGCATTTTTAATGATTTATGACGTCACAAACTAGTCAGATTTAAAATCATTTTTTAGAAAGAGGACAAAATAGACAAAATTTCAACAATTTTGCTTTAAAATTTGTAGAGCGCAAGTTTGCTCAGGAACAATATTTACACATTTCATTGATATTATCATTCTACACATTATATAAAAATATTGAGCCTGATCAGCCCTGCGCTTGGTGACTTTTACTCAAAATATTGACGCAATATATACATTTTTCTGTAGAAATCATGGAAATTTTAAATTAACGTCATTTTCATGACGTCATTTCAAACATATGACGTCATGGCTTATGAAAATATTCAATGCTTTGAAGTCAGCATATATTCCCCTGTTTAAGAACATAATTAGATATTTCTCCGTCAATGTTTGATTTGGGGGGAAAATATTGGTTATTATCGAATAAAGTTCTTTACAAAGCAGCATTTACATGTCAAATTTGAACAGAGTAAATCATCAGATTGCATGGAGTCTAGTTCACAAAAGTTGTAAATCTTTACCATTACTATAGTAACCTATGTAACTAATATTAAGACTGAGACATTACCAGGTGGGGGCCACAATGTGAGGTATTTTCAGTTCTATGGGATCCTGTGGATTGCTGCCTGCAGCTGCCTCTGTCTCTGTGTTCTCCAATGACTGTGTGGTAGATCTCAGTTCTGCCAGCAGCTCTCTCCCCACACTGTCTGTGTAGAACTGGGGACAGTAGGGGAGTAACTCCTGAAGATACCTAAAGCCTGAACAGAAAATGTACAATGGTTAACATAGAACTGGGGGGCAGTAGGGGAGTAACTCCTGAAGATACCTAAAGCCTGAACGGAAAATGTAAAATGGTTAACAGTTCACAATAAGGCACATTTAAACCTTGATATCTCAAATTTGATGGGGCTGAGGAAAAACTTGGAAAAAACTTAAAGAATAAGTGGGTGAAAATTCCATATCACCTCAATTTACCCATGATATTCAAGATATCCATGTACTGAAGGTCAGTTGTATAATGGACAGTTTGTACAGTATACATCTTACCTATGGCAGTTGTATTTTATCTAATTATATGCTGCAGAATTTTTAATATTGGTTACAGATGCATTTAGAAAACATCTGTAGATCATCTTTCACTTGATATTACTGTAAAAATATGAAGAAATGAACAAATGTACCCCTAAATGTACTTAGAATATTATAGTCTCTGTTTTGCTATATGTACAATGTAATTTGCTCCAAACATCTGTCAGATCAGAATGTAAAGTAGGGGAACACAATGGCACTATGTAATCAGGAACTGTTCCAGTCTCATGCATTTTTTTTACAGTGAAATAGGAGGAGTTGTAGATTAGAGTAACTTACCTGGATTATCTTGTAGACTTTTGCCATCTTTTGCCTCTTTCATAAGCTGGGATACTGCCTCCTATAATACATAAAATAAAATCCCTTAAAACTATATCAAACCTTAGAGAACTTAAAGTTAGTCCCTTTAATCAAAGAAAAAAACTTGCAGCATTGTTCAAATAAATTAATTATTGAGTTGATCCTCCTTTTTTGCTAGTACATGTATTAGTAATTTGATGCATGAGCAAAATTTTACTGAAAATGTAATGTTTCTTTTTTTTTTTTATTCAATACATAAAAAGGCAACTGCCATAGTGACCAAGTGCTAATTAAGGTAAAGCAAATGCCTGCATGATCATAAGATGCTGAACATTATAAAAATTAGATTCATTACATCTCATAAATCTGAAAGTATAAGTAGATTGTTCTTAATAGAAGTATGATACATAGATGTAAAATACAAAGTGTTCAGCTCACAAAGAGGTTCTGTAGGCGCGATTCACAGAAGAAACATGTCTGCTCCTGCTGCCAGTCCTTTGTAATTCCTGTCTCCAGACCTACAGAAAGTCAGAGGCAATTTATTACAGACTCAGGATTCATTTATAATTAGTCCATAATCAATATAGGATCTTAAACATGAAAAATTAATGACATCTTTGAAGGGCATTATTTCATATCTTCTTTAAGTTAAAGCTTTTGGATCGAGACATCTGCATTTTTACAGTATAAATAAGCATACAAATGATCAGTTGTGTTTTTACATGTCATATATATGGAAAAATGCAGGAATGTTTATTCACTTGAATCATTTTGGTCATAATGAAAAATATAATGACATTGTTTACAAATTTCAAACACAGAAATAAAATTTTACAACCTTCTTCTTAAAAGAATTGTTTCTCAGAAACAAATTCAGAGTAAATATCTTACAATTAAATGGTAGCAAAAGTTCTGTGATGTTCTTCTTTCCACCAAACTCTTCTGCAATTCTTTCTAGCCCTGTTAAAATGCAAATAGTGATTCAGAGGGAAATTAACAAACAGTGATTTTGTCCACACAACATCCATTCAAAAGTAATGCTGTAATTGAAGACATATCAATTAGCGCTAAAATCTAAAAGTAATAGAAACTTCTGTTTAAGAGACAGTTATTATTTTAATTAATTGAGCAGCAGATCTAGATGAGTCGAAAATGCACAATGTGATGAAACTATGGTGTATGCACTCTCTGTTCTAAATTAGGCTGTAGTAAAACAAGAGGCCCATTGGCCACAATGCTCCAATAGGCACCCTGGCTATGCTGTTCTTAAACAGATTTAGATTTTCTTACTCCCTGTTTAGTTAAATGTTGACTCCCTATAATATTGTGACTCTAAGGCCCAAAAGGGCCATAACTTAGCAAAAGTTGAATCACATGTAACAACCTATGTTTAATACAATAAAAGGATTTTAAGTTTATAAAAAAAATTAATATAATAGTAAATCACTGTTTTAATAATACTCTGACCTAAGACACCATATTAAAACAAATGTAAATCCATACTACTTGGGAATCACTGCATATTGATGACAGTAATCCCTGCAAATCGACATTTGTTTTGACCCTGCTACTTATGAGATTTTAATTTTCATATTTTTCCCAGTACATTCCAATACAAAACTTCAATTTCTGTTGGTCCTAATTGCTAACCCAAAGGACCATGATTTGGAAAGAAAGCAATCTGGACTACGTAGGAGATAGTTTTAAACATGAGATTAATAAAAGTTTACAGACCACACATTCTGATGAAAGATGGACACTACATGAACAGTTTTTTTTTTTATCAGAAAATCTCACTACATGGGACTGGCTTTTGCAACCTTAAATCCCTTTCTTAGACCCACTCAGCCTCATGAACTCTTTGAAGCATCATTTACTGAAGTGCAGCCTAAAATACATGCTTCAATTTTAAAAAAAAAACATCAATTTTTCACTGTCAGTGTAGACTTACATCCACTGAGAAATGATCTGATCCAACAGTTTAAGGTTCAGTAACCCTATGATAAGAGGGCTAACTCTCACTGAGATATATTTCTATAATTTTGCATTCTCTCTTAAAATAAAGTTTTCAAGTAAACAGTCCCTTTTTGTCACAAGTTTGCTGGAACTGTATGTAATTCAATTACTTTAGAGATTACTTTTGGTTAATTTTCATACAAGTGAACACTGTCAGGTTGATGTACCTTAAATTTGATAATTAATTTGGAAAAAATAAAGGTAAAATTAAAAACTTCCAAATAGGTCCTTTATTATTTGAGTCTTTAAGCAGAGTTTATTATTTGAGTCTTTAAGCAGAGAGAAAGACTCTTATCTTATATTTACACCTATATGAACAGGGCCTATTTCAGGGCCTATTTCATGCAAAATATTTTTTTCAAATTACTTCAAATGGATCGCAAGTTACCACCACAAGCTCAGTTTTCAAAACCATGCACTTGCTGGGAATCCTTGGGACCTACTTACAAATTCTAAAACTCTGGGGCATGCCTCAACATGGCTTGTCCAGTCAACTGGAAAAAGAAAATGCAAGAGGCAGTGTCAGAGATGAGAGTGATGGACAGTCTGGTAGATGCTGTTAGGGATAACAGCAATATACCCACTATCTTCCTTTACAAGTCAGACATGAAAAAGTTAACTCTGTCTCCTATTAGAATCATTCATAATTTCTCTTCTGTGCATGAATGATGCAAAAATATATATGCAGGGCTGAACCTAAAATAACAGAGAACTTTTATAAAGGAAAAGGGGGTCTGGAGCTCCACAGGGACACATGAGTGGGAATACCAGAGTACCTGGAGGATTGTCATTTTAGGTGGAGGGAATTCCCTGGCCTTCAAGTCTTAGGGAAAACCCTGTATAGGTATGAAAATGTTTGGGGTTTTTTAACATAAAATTTACACATTGAAGAGTTAGATCATTATATATAACCATATGTTCATAATGAATAATTTCATCTGCATTTAACTTCTGTGAACAAATTGTTCCTCCATTAAATGATGGAAAGAAACATATTTCCCACTTCTAGAAACAGCTGGTCAATCAATAACTTAACTAAATTCTGAATTCATTTTTTAGTAAAGTTATCATTTTGAATTATTTTAAAATAAGTTCCATGCAGTAAGATAAAATACAAACTTGCCCAGTACTGATAAAAAATTAAATATATACATGTGTATATGAAAATATTATAAGGAAGTTCACCAAAATATAATATAGATCTATTTTTATTCCTGTTTAATACAGTATACTTATGATGGTTTTATATATATTGCAATGAGTCTATAGTCACTTTCAGAGAGATATTTTGAGTGTCACCACAGTGTCTGATCAATATATATGTAGAACCAGGCACTATTTCAGTCTCAATTGTGAAGTTTAAAAATAAAAATGTTTAATCTGTTTGAAAAAAAATCAAATAAAGTCAGCGATTCAAGAGGGCAGATATATTTTGACTGTCACCGCTGTCTAATCAATACTAGAATCCAAACCTGTTGAGAATGTATTAACATATGAACACAAGGATAAGACTCAATGCCAAGAGTCACCACAGCAACGAAAAAAAAATCAATATTCCCCACAGCCGAAATTGAAAATGTCACATCAAGATGTCATAAAATATGACAAAAATTATCACCTGTTGATATTTAAAATATACAAAACAAGGAAATCTTAAGAAAAAAAATAAATCAATACATTTCTAATTTACAAAAGATTTGCAGGAGGAATTTATATGAATCTTCCGAACAAGATAAATGCTTCCATTGTCAACGTCACCATCATCAGCCGAATTTTGGGTGACGATCGATCGAGAGCTTACCTGTTTAATTAAACACTAAATTAAAATTTCATTAATTCTATAATATATTAAACACATAAAAGCATGAAAAAATTCTCAAATATTGTCTTACAGAAGTAGAATCTTTTCAAAATACGACTGATGATATTTTATTTAATCACAAGGGGTGTGCTTACAACATGGAACAGCCAAGGAGCCTGAATTTTGACAATGAAATCACTAACGTTTACCGTATATTAAAGGTAACCTAACTTGTCTCATACCCTCTACACAATTAATTCACAAATAAAATGGTACTTACCAACTGCTATAGGTATTTTTTTGCTCCATGACAGCAGTTCTTTTCTAAAAACCCGTCGTTCCTGGCTGCATCTTGAGTTCCCACAGTCAACCATGTTTCATTGTATATACTGTGACGTAGTACGCATTCGGGAAGCACAGCTGTGACGTAGTTGGTACACAGGTGAAAACCCAGAGCAGGTACTCTCAGGTAAGATATCAGTGCCTTATTTGGTAAATTTACATTAACAAATCAAAATAATAGTTGAAATTGTGTTCTGATGATCACGACAGACTAATTTCCGCAACAATTCTAACAAGTCAGTGTGTAATTTTTGTTTACTTTCACTTTAGCTGAGACTAAATTTAGAAAATAAGACTAATCCTATTGGAGTTGTGAATAACAATTGGGTGTGGTGATTTATATAATAAGAATATTATTGAAAGTAATATCACACAGTTTTTGCAGTCTACATATATAAAAATAGTATGTATATCTATTGGGTAGAATCAGGGACCTTAGTATATAGGTCCCTGGTAGAATATAAAATTTTAATTATCATACATGTAGCTTAGTATTATAAATCAAAAGGATTTCGAAACTCTCTCTCTCTCTCTCTCTCTCTCTCTCTCTCTCTCTCTCTCTCTCTCAGACAGAATGATAATTCATGATATTTGATTAATCAAGTATATTGAAGAAATTGATATCGATTTCAGAAAATTTTATGCCTATGATTAATAGAGAGAAATTGAGAAACTTTAATATTGATCCTGCACAATAATTGAGTTATAAAGGAAGTGCATCAGGATGTACTTATGGTGAATATATATAGTTAATAACTATAGGTCTTCTAATTAAGGAATGACTCTAATTCTTGGCCAAATAATAGAGTCATTCCCTATAATTTAGTTTTAAAATAATTAAACAACTTTGGATGTAAAATTGTGTTGCTTTTTATGAGTTCAAATTTTAATACAACCGTAGTAACGGAAGTGATGTGAAGCGAGAGAGAACATAGATCTAGCAGCCATGATGTGTGTTTACATGAGGTAAGATCGAGTTAGTGTTTGAAGTTAAAGATACAGTTATTAAATCTTGAATTTTCCATGGAAAGGAAATGTGGGGATTGCATGGATAAGATGATTAATGGTGAAGGGGGTGTGTTAATTAAACCAGATTATACAAAATATTTTGCATTCCTTTTTGGAAATCAACCAATGAGAGGCGAGAATATAAACGAAATTAAATAACATTAAAATAATGGAAGGAGAACAGGGGTGATATCTGTTGTAAAAGGTAGGTGGCAGGAGTGGAAGAGTTGGTGGAAAATATTTTTGGGAAGGAAGAAATGTTAAGATAGCAGCATAATTGGGATGGAGATTGCATTGGGTAATTCAAGAGGATTAAAAAAGATCAAGATAAGAAGCACAAAAAGGCTTAAAGAAACCTGCATGGGCCAGTATAATATATATTCTCCATCTTTTCCTATATATGCTTTAATTAGTCTGATGTTTGGATGAATTCTAGTGTATTAATAATTGTATTTAAATAAAGGTTATTGATTTGAAATAATGCATTCAGATAAATTTAATTTGTATATTAAATAAAAATCAAAAAATATTTTGGTTTTTGTTATAGTTTCTTTAAGTGTAATTCCTATGGCATAGAAAATATATATATAATACATATGAGATATCATTTATTTTAAGACCTTAAAAAGAAATTCCCCAAAGATATGAAGGGAAACTACCACTATCCGGATGGCAGTGAATATTCAGGGGACTGGCAGGAGGGACAACGTCACGGCTATGGAGTCATGAAGTTCCTTGACGGTTCTCAGTACTTTGGGATTTTTGATAATGGACTCTGTCAAGGGACTGGGGTCATGATATTTTCAGACAAATCCAGGTAAATATTTAGGTACTGATAACTACATCTTCTGAAGTAAACCACAGTAAAAAAAATGATTATGTACTTTGGTATATTTTGCGGTCATTTGTGCATGTCAATCATGTGACCTGTTGCCATTTATTACTGTCATCAACAGTTGAACTCTCTAAAATAGCTGACTGATTTAAGTCAGTTTTTTTTCTGGATAAATTGTCTGATTGGCAATAATGAGACAATACATTTAACCCTCTATAAAATGGTGTATTACTATATTATATATCTGTGACACATGATTTAAAGGAAATTAAGGCCCAAAAGTTGGTTCAGGTTGTGCATGAATTAAAAAAATTCAATTGAATATATTTTTAAAAAAAATTACTTTTAGGTATCTAGCAGGCAAATGTCTTACATATTGATAATAAACAAATAGTTCTTCACCTAAATTGCAAAATTGAAGTGTAAGGCTTATAGTTCAGACTTCATAATTACCGGCCTGAGCAGGATCTGAATGGTGGTCATATATACTGTAAAGGTACTTTTCCCATGGGGTCATAAGGAATCACCATTTCTGTCAAATCTACAAGTAGAAAATTTGATTCTTGCATGTATATTTTTATTAAAAACTTGATCACAATTAAAACATTAATCTTAAAATTTGTTTTAAAAGAAAGTTGTCTTACCTAGCTATCAATAACAAACTACTAATCTTCCAAAAAATTATGTTTCATGATATTTGGTTATCTGCAGTAATTATTAATAAAAAGATTGTCTTGAAAAATTATCAATGTGTAAGTACATATATATATATATATTGTAAAGGATGCATGTATTTGTAAGCTTGCAGACCTTACATGTATATATAAAATCTATACTTCTGAGCAAACAGGAAACAAACTTAAGCTTCCGTCATGCAAGGTGATAAAGAACAAAGGGTTTTTTGTATTAAATAGCAAAATTCGTGTCACATTTGGTCTCATGTTTTATGTGGAGCCTTCCTCTCAAGCCATGGTTCAAAGTCTGCTTATACCTCTAGATCTCTCATACCCATGGCTGCTTGATCACAAAAAGTGTTGTAATCTTGAATATTTACACCTATATTTACTAGGGATGGGTATCGCCAAAAATTTTGTATCGCGATATATCACGATTTTTTCTCCACAATATCACGATAATTTCATGATATTTTTAAAAGCAGTTTTTACAATGATTTTATATGATTAAAAGTCATTATTTTTTTAAAAATATGCTAGAAAAACAAAATTTTACTTTCTTGAAATTTTTATGTATATAAAATCAATTACATTTGGACGGTAAGATGCCATTCTTTTCACTTTTTACAACATTTTTTATACTTTCTGTAATTGTTATTGAAAGATTGAACAAATAAATGAATAATTTCTGGATTTTATAATATGTACCTAAAGACCGGTAAGGTCTAATATACGATACATATCACGCAGCAAAAAATCGCGATATACCGGTATACCGATAAAATCGCACATCCCTAATATTTATATCATCAGTACACAAAAATATTTTGTAAACTGCGAGTGGGTATTGAAAGGTCATGGCAAAGTTCATTTTCCGACTATGCTTTACTCGCAATGGTCAATATTTTAATGAAGTGCGAAATATTCTCTTCTCATTCAACCATGGCCAGAATGGGAGAGGATCATTCATTTTGGCCGCGGTAATGCTATGATGATGTGGAGTTAGTCATATACTAAGATATGACATCAAAGGCTTTTAGGCATATTGAATTATGTATGAATTAATATACTACATTGTTTTAGAAGAACTTAAATTTATAGAGTTCTATTTAAAATCTATTTGTGTGGCTGATTAACTATTTATGCCCCTCTTCAAAGAAGGGATCAAGGGCATATTGCTTTGCTGCTGTGTGTCTGTCGGTCTGCCTGTCTATCGGTCCACCATGACAGTTTAATCTTTCATTTTCTTCATAGAGGTTGCACATTTTGAAATGAAATTTGGTATACAGATTTATCATAAGAATTATCATTTAAATGAGCAACATTTAAAATGAATTCTCTCTTTTGGAAGGTATGAAGGTGATTTTCAGAATGGAAAGTTTAATGGTTATGGTATTTTTACACGATCTGATGGGATGAAGTATGAAGGACAATTTAAAAGTGGACAGATTTGTGGATACGGTGAGTTTAAGTAACTCGTTGATATAAGTATTGCAGACATATAAATTTTGACTGTAAATCTACTAAAACATTATGGATCTGTGTTCAAGAAACTTTTAATATCACGCAACCAATGTGGAAGATTGTACCATTGATGTCCTTTTATTTGTTCACAAATCCTTGAGCAAAACAATACAAATTGATTACATAGGTGTGTTATACTTTTAGACAATGCAGTTGAAAGACTAAGGACTTTTATGACTATTTGAAGTATATGTAATAGTGACTAGGGATTTTATGACCCTTTGCAGTAATGATGACTAGGGATTTCATAACTCTTTGCAGTAATGGTGACAAGGGATTTTATAACTTTTTGCAGTGATGGTGACATGGGATTTTATGACTCTTTGCAGTGATGATGACTAGGGATTTTATGACTCTTTGCAGTAATGGTGACATGGGATTTTATGACTCTTTGCAGTGATGATGACTAGGGATTTTATGACTCTTTGCAGTAATGGTGACATGGGATTTTATGACTCTTTGCAGTGATGATGACTAGGGATTTTATGACTCTTTGCAGTAATGGTGACCAGTGATTTTATGACTCTTTGCAGTGATGGTGACTAGGGATTTTATGACTCTTAGCAATGATGGTGACTAGGGATTTTATGACTCTGCAGTGATGGTGACTAGAGATTTTATGACTTTTTGCAGTGATAGTGACTAGGGATTTTATGACTCTTTGCAGTGATGGTTATTTAAGGAATTTTATGACTCTGCGATAATTGTGACTAGGGATTTTATGACTCTTTGCAGTGATGGTGACTAGAGATTTTATGACTTTTTGCGGTGATAGTGACTAGGGATTTTATGACTCTTTGCAGTGATGGTGACTAGGGATTTTATGACTCTTTGCAATGATGGTGACTAGAGATTTTATGACTCTTTGCAATGATGGTGACTAGAGATTTTATGACTCTTTGCAATGATGGTGACTAGAGATTTTATGATTTTTTGCAGTGATGGTGACTAAACGGATATTATGACTCTTTGCATGGTTCAGGACTCTTTCCAGTGATTGTGACAAGGGATAATTCTATTTAAGACTGTTTATAGAGTTGGCAACTAGGGATTTTTTTTACTCTTTGCAGGGTTAGTAACATTTGCTGACCACAGTCATGGACTCCCAAGGAATGAGGGGTACTTTGAGGGAAACAAACTCATGAAAAGGGAGAAATGTTCAGGGGCCATCCAAAGAGCCAGACAAGCTTCTGAACAGGCCAAGTCACATCAGAGATTCTCATGATTCGGAAACATATCATTTGTAGATTTATTGTATACTTTTTATTTGTTATTATAGATGCATATTACCTATACATGTATTTATCATTTGATATGCAAAGGAACCCTTATACTTCAGATTTAATGTATTTCTGTTTACAAAAGTACATTTTTAAGAATTCAAAATTCATAATGTGTGACAATCTTTTATTTATTTATTTTTTTATATTTTTGTTTTATTGATTTAATCAGATTATTAAATATTCTGTACATTGATTTTTTTGTTCAAATCACTGATCTTCTGCATATGATTCTGATTCATCAAGAAATTCGACATTATAATTTTCATACTAATTTTTATACTTCATCAGTTTAAAATTATATAACGGGGTTTAATAGACCAATCATCAAAGTTTATCATTATCCTTGACAATAGTGGACATTGTAAAAAAAATGATATAAATACGGTAATTCTAAAGTGTCATCAAAAGTGGCCTGGTATTTTTGTATTAATACACTCTGCGATTTGTAAGCTCTGAGATTGACTGAGTAGTAAAGGCTTGCTATTATGGTTGTATTTTCACATTTCAAGATTTATCTCTCACCAAGTAGAGAAAAAGACAAATCCTGATGTCCACATTCCCTGCATTATACGTGTACATTCTAACTGAAAAGTACATTATCATTACTTTTTTTAAGCATATAGATGTTTTAAGGTTCTGGTGCTATTGAAGGGAAAACGTTAATTAGAAAGATTCTAAAACTATGAATAAATATTTATCAAAAGTTTGTATTTGTATTTTTTTTTTATCCTTTTAAGGAATGAATTAAGGTAGTCCGATCCTCAGGTTTATAAAATTAGCAGTCAAGTAATCAAAAGTACTCATAAAAGTATCTCTGAATTCGCAAAGTTATTTTATCCACAGTGTTTCTTTAAAGTTCAAGATTAAATTTAATCATATTATATAGGGAAAATCGTCAAATCGCCAAAATTTTGCAGAAAAAACAAATAGGAATATCAGCTATGCATTTTCTAATTGCAAATTGATCAACAAATATATTTTAGGTTCAAAAACAATAGGTATCCAGGCATTCAGAGAAATTGTCATGCTTTTTATACTTATTTGATATTTTTTGTCTTCTATTTCCGTCATGTATTCTATAATACATAGTGTAAAAGGCTTTTGCTATCATAGAAAGACACCACAAATCACTTCTATTTCATATCATGCTAATAATCATTGGTATCTAAAACTGGATTTAAAAAAAATCTTATTTCTCTAAAACTGTACATTTTTTTTTCTTTTATAGAGTATAAATATCAACTTTTATAAGACCTTTTCTAAGACTTCCAAAAATTTTGAATCTTATTAAGATGAATATAATGAAAATTGTTGCACGAAAAAAATTTATTTTCAAGCTTCATTTTGATGCATTTCAAATTAAATATGTAATTCTGGAGTTATCCTTCCTGGCTGAGGATCGGATATCCTTAAATAGCAACCCAAATTATACTGTATAACCTGGGTTAGGACAGTTTACGCTTTATATAAAAAAGCGTAAACTACTCCAACCCAGGTTAGAGCAGTATAATTTGGGTTGCTGTTTAATTCATTCCTTATAATTTAATTTTCAATCATTAAGAATATAAAACAAGACAATTTCTCTCTTTAAAACGCCTTAAAATTGTTCATATTTTAAACGTAACATTAAGCGGATTGATACGATTTTGACGTAAGGCATTGTGACGTAAGCAAACCAGATTATACAATTTAGATTAATTTTTTATCCAATCAAATGACGCGTTACAACCAAAATTAAATTATATTGATATAAGGGATTACATGTATTTTGAGATGAAAATATGCTTTAATAGGCTTCTTAAATCCTGTTGATAGAAAGTACACAAACTTTCATTTTAGTGTTTTAATATTAAAGTTTATAGTAAAATATTTAAAGGTAATAAGAGTTTATTAATTAAGGGGTTTGTTCCATAGCACCCCAACCCACCCTCACAAACTTGTATAATGTAGAAAAAAAAAGTGGTATTATGCTTGTGTTATAATATTGAATGAATTTTTTTTCTTGTCAAGGGACTTTCGTTTGGCAGTGTGCCCCCCCCCCCCCCCCTTCCAGCTGAATCAATATATTTTTTTCAGAAAAGTGTCATCCAACAGGTTTACAAAACGATTTCCCTCTTAATTGCACAACTCTACCAACTCATTTGAACGTCACTTGGCCTTTTCCATCAAGTAAAAAAGTTTTAACGAGTAATGCGTCCCAAATATCGCAAAAGTTGTTCATTGTGACGTCACAGTCGCTGCGTCACGAGCTTAGAATACAGGGTTGTTCATTAGGACGTCACATTCTCTACGTCACGAAGACCGACCACAGGCTTTTCACTATGATGTCACAATCGCTGCGTCATGAGCACAGGGTTGTTCATTATGACGTCACAGACACTCTCTGCGTCACGAGCACTGACCACATAGACACTTGTGTCTGTAATAATTTTTCAACCCATAGTATTATGATTACATGTGTTTAATATTTTTATATAAAAATTTATTAGGCAATTAATGCATGGGTTAAAAAAATTATCACAGAAACAGGTGCTTGTGTCACCGACCTTCAGGTGAATATAGAGACATAATTAACGAAGTGACTATTTAATAATAGATTGTTTATACGAACTATACAAAGAAAGAGGGCGTATAAGGCTTGGACAATCCCCCGCTCTGAGACAGAATATTTCTCAATTTTCAAAATTCACAGAAAAGTTATATTTTTCTAAAAACATGTTCTCAGTATAATGTCATCTTCTAAACATTTTATCATTTTATTTTATTGAACGACTTATTATTTGATAATCTTTATTTCAAAGTTGACATTTAAGCATATTTAGTGGGAAATGGCTTACTAGAGCTATAAAAAATCAATTTTGAACATGAATGGGTTATGAGTCTCAATTTTTCGTTAATGCTTAAATGATGGAAATGTAAATGCGAAATGTATTTCAGTCGTCCAAAAAATGGAATCTGAACCCATTCTATATGAAAATCGAAAATTTCTGAAAAAATGTACGCTTCAACAAACACGTTTATTTAAATCATACTGACAGATGTCGACAATGCATAAACTTCGTAGCATAGTGGTTAAAGCGATCGGTCTTGGAGCAAACCCTGTGCTACGGAGAGAGTTCGAATCACACGTTAACTTTTTCTTGTTTTCACATATCTTAAAAACATGAGTGAAAAATAAATTATTAATAAAATTTTAAAACAATGAAATACAGAATGAAAAGTGTAAAACATGATATTCACAATACAATTTTGAAAAATATAACTTTTGGAATTGAGAAATGTCTTTTCTCAGAGCGGGAGATTGTCCTCGCCTTGTACGCCTCCATACTTTGCAAATTCAACGTGTATCAAAAGGTATTGCTACGGTAAAAGTTTTTTTTAAAGTAGGTCAAACTCCAAGGCCAACAAAGTTGTTTTTATTTAAAGGAGGGTCTGGTCACAAGGATTACATATGTGAAATATGAAAGCGCTAGCACCAACTGTTCAAAAGATATGACCAAGGTTTAAATTGGGTAAAATTTTGCAAAACTAGGTCAGACTCCAAGATCAAGGTCAAAAAGTCGAATTATGTGTTGCCCTAGTCCCTAAAAAAGATCATGTCACAAGGAATACACATGTGAAATATGAAATAGCCTCAACCAATCAAAAGTTATGGGTAAGTTTATTTCAAAGTTTTTGCGGACTAACAGATTAACATTTCGGGCAGACGGACCGACAAGGCAAAAAATATATATACCCCCGGATCTTCGATTACGGGGCATAAAATTAAGAAAATTGGCCAAACTCGAAAATCCTATTTCATAGAGGAGGTGGGGGTGGTAGGAAGGGGGGGGGTTAGGTTTCAATTTTTAAAGTCAAACATACTAAATTACCCTTATTTGACTTTACTTCAAGAAAAAGTGGGGGGAGTGGGCTTTCAGTGACAGTGAGAGGATACGTGCCTGTTAAAAGAATTAGTAGTTAAATGGAAAATATAAATAGTTTTACCATCTTCAATTTTCTAGAACAGAAAAAATATGCTTTCTTTCAAATTTTACTTTGTATTAATCTGATTAATTAATATTTAAAAAAAATGAAGTTAAGTTCAATTGATTATATCTATACAATATAGTATCAGTATTAAATCTTATTACCTACTTTAGTTTGCTCATTCAATTTCCGGTTAGTCTAGTCTTATCTACATGACAACACAAATTCGTGAATTACAGGAGGACGGCAGACGAGAAACAGATTCAGTGTTGATTCAGCCATTTTAATGAATAGAAGCTAACATAAATCTGATTCAAGATGGAGTCAATTCACAATCGGTTAAGAATACAGAACATAGCAGACGAAGCAAAACGGAAGAAGGTAGGGAAATTATAACGAAGCCAAGAGGAGGACTCGAAATTCCTCGTAAACGTAGAATATATATAGAACGGTAGACAACCGCGTTCTTGACCTAGATAGCTAGGGAATATATACAGTACTCATAAACATGTATGATACTGCTATTTTATGCATGTTTTATCAAATGACAATTTCAGCACATTTAGTTCAGCTAGAGTTAAAATAGCCCATACTTTTCATCTTTTTACATATTTTTACATTAATGCTTATGAAAAAATGCCACAGCTGTATATATTTCTTTTTTTTTTAACTATTGCAATTGATTTGTAGGTGGAAGAGATTCTGAAACCGTTGATTCTGAATGATGCGGCCATACAAAAGTTAATGGATACATTTGAAGACCAGATTTCCCTCGCTAATACAATGGACCCCGAAAAAAGAAAACAGTCGAATTTGCTATGGGAGTGTACTTATGTACGACATCTTCTAAAGGGGAATGGTAATAATTACTTCGACATCTGAAGATAAAAAAACACGGTTAGAAATAACAATAGGAAAATAACTTTCGGATGACTCATTTCTATGCATCGTCACAAACCACAGCCAAAATGTAAGATCCTCTCCCATTCGATAAGCGGACTCCGAACCGTGGCTTGAGACGATGATTCTTTCGGCATGCAAGCCGAACTGCAGATATCTCACAGGTTTCAACTTAAAATGTTTTATTATGTAGAGAACGTTTTTTATACAAGTCTAGATCAATATTATGTAGAGAACGGTGATTACAAACGTTTAAATGTGTATTGAACGCTGAATATTATGTAGAGAACGGTGATTACAAACGTTTAGATGTGTATTGAACGCTGAATACAACCGTTAAGATGTGTTTAATATGTAGGAACGCTGAACAATCGTCTAGATCTGTATGTAGAGAACGGTGATTACAAACGTTTAGATGTGTATTGAAGGCTGAATACAACCGTTAAGATGTGTTTTATATGTAGGAACGCTGAACAACCGTCTAGGTCTGTATTATGTACAGAACGCTGAATACAGACGTTTAGATGTGTATTGAAGGCTGAATACAACCGTTAAGATGTGTTTTATATGTAGAAGAACCATCTAGGATTACTGAAAACATGTGTAGATGAATACAACCGTAATATATGCACAGAAAACGCTGAACAACCGTCTAGATCTGTATTATGTAGAGAACGCTGAATACAGACGTTTAGATGTGTAAACAAACGTTTAGATGTGAATTTTGTAGAGAACGCTGAATACAACCGTCTAGATCTGTATTATATAGAGAACGCTGAAAACAACCGTCTAGATCTGTATTATATAGAAAACGCTGAATACAAACGTTTAGATGTGAATTTTGCAGAGAACGCCGAATAAAACCGTCTAGGTCTGTATTATATAGAGAACGCTGAATACAAACGTTTTGATATGTATTATGTAGAGAACGCTGGTGACAAACGTTTAGATCGGTATCACCGTATGTAGAGATCGTTGGTTACAAAGGTATAGATCTGTATTATGTATAGAGAACGCTGATTACAAACGTTTTGATCAGTATTTTTTTCGGCGATAATATAGGTCTTGATTTATATTCTATAGAGAACGGCGAAAACATTCGTCCAAATTTGTATTATGTAGAGAACAGTGACTACATCTGTCCATAACTGTATTACATGTATGTAAACATGGTAAAAAAAGTTATATCTGTCAATATCTGTATTAAGATTTTTTTGATTACATCCGTCAAGATGCGTATCATATAGAAAATGCTGATTACAACCGTCTAGATCTGTATTATGTGTATGTAAAGAAAGGTGATTACAGCCGTCAAGATTTGTATTATGTAGAGAAAGATGATTTATCCATGTAAACCAGTATGATGAGAACATTACTTATAAACATCTGCGTGGCTCCATCCTTAGCTGGATCCTCCTTCATTTGCTGTTTCGGCGCTGTCCACTACAGCTCCAGAGGTGCGCTGACTGGGGTGATCAAGTCCCAGCCTGGAACCACTTGGCTCTACATCACTGCTTTCTATTTTACTGTCTATCTCACTGCTGTTTATAAACATCACTGCTGTTCTACTTTACTGTCTATCTCACTACTGTTTATTGTCTTTCCACTTCTCTACTCTTCTTCTCCACAACCACATGGACGCCGAATCCGTCTCCCTGCACAGACTCCCTATTAATGTCATTCTTTCTGCTCCCGTTATGCCAAAGGCTCTCAGTGCTCTCCACATAGACTGCCCCATGAATCCTCTACAAACCACTTCCACTGCAAAAAACAGACCTTCCATTCATACTGCTGACAATCCTTCAGAAGGTCTTGGTACTTAAGATTCTTCCTTTCATACGCATCCTCCATGCTATCCTCTAATGGCGCTGTTAATTCCAAAATAATTGTCTGTCTTGTAGCCACTGACTAAATACATGACTACTATCTGGCCTCTTGTTATTAGTTTGGCCAGATGAAAATACTAAACTTTCCTTGAGGTCTGCCCTCATCTCCCAATCTGTTGCTGTTCCACAGCAGGCCACTCCTTTCAGCACTAACTTTATGTCCTTTTTCACCTTCTTTCACAAGGTTGACAAATCTCAGGCCCTCTGTACTCTTTGGCTTTTTGATACCCTTCTCAAAGATGTCAGATTTACTGCTTAGGACTCTATCATGTCTCGAAGTGTATCTCCCATCTTTCAAAGCCTTTGAGCATGTTGATAATATGTTATGTTATTATGTAGAGAACGGTAATGACATCTGACTAATCAGATTTATGTAGAGAACGGTGATTACATCTGTCTACGTATATATTACATGTATGTAAAGGACGGTGATTACATAGGCCAAGATCTTTATTGTGTAAGAATTGTGATTAAATAGACCAAGATCTTTATTGTGTAAGAATTGTGATTAAATAGACCAAGATCTTTATTGTGTAAGAATTGTGATTAAATAGGCCGAGATCTGTATTGTGTAGAGAATTGTGATTAAATTGTAAATATGACTAGATCTGTATTGTGTAGAGAACATTTATTACAAACAGTGTAGGTCTAAATCTGTATTATGTAGAGATTGGTGATTCAATATGATTAGATCTGTATTATGTAGAGATTGGTGATTCAATATGATTAGATCTGTATTATGCATGGAACAGTGATTGAATACTAGTAGGTCCAGATCTTTATTATGTAGAGTATGGTGATTAAACAAATCTAGATGTGTGTTGTGTAGAGAATGTGCATACATCCGCTTAGATGTCTATTATGTCGAGAATTGTGTCTATATCAATATTTTGCAGAAATCACTCATTACGTCCGTTTAGATCTCTGAAATTGTAGAGAACAGATACGACATCGGTTTAACTCTGTAATTCTGTATGGTTAAAATAGCAGTGTTGATCTCTATTTTGTAGAGAATGATAATTATATCTAGTCTAGATTTCTGTATTGTTCTGTTGGGAACGACGATTTTATTGTATATAAGTCTTTTTTCTGAAAAGGATGCCGAAGACATCTGTAGTGGTCTTTATTCTGTAGAGAATGGTGATTACATCGGTGTAGATCTTTGTACTGCTTTGTAGAGAACAGTGATTAAGATGATTACACCGGGTTGGATCTTGTAACATATCATTCAAGCGAAAGGTTATTTTTTCTTTGTCTTATTTTCTGTAGAGAACGGTGATTACATTGGTCTAGATCTTGGTGGAACAAACTTCCGGGTTGTCAGAGTTGTGATGAAAAACGGGATAGCTAACACGACCACGAAGTATTACAACTTAGACGAACAGCTTCTGTCGGGTCCTTGTAAATATGTATGTATGACTAGTTCCAGAGGCAGAAGATAAAATAACTTATTTAAGGACTTATTTTTCAGTTATGATTTCTAGTTTTCTACATTGTACTAGGTGTTTGATCATATAGCTGAGAGTTTGGAACGGTTTTTACGAGAAGAAAATATCACCACTCCTCTGCCTGTTGGTAAGCGGCCTATGTATTTGCTCACTGTTTTAAATATCCTTGCTCTCATCATATTCCTTCAAAATCGGATTTAATATGATTCTGAGTAGATCCTTACGATTTTTATGTAAAAAACGTTTTTTGAGTTTTCCCTCCACATTCACGTTTGTTTGCATTTATTGAGTTACAAGTTTATCGTTAAAAATGCCAATATATATATCTTTTATCTATTTATCGCTTGATACTATTACCATGTATATCATTAAATTTATCGTTTTGTATTTGCTATTGAAAACTCTTACTTATTAAGCCGTAGAATGTGCCTCATTTCAGACAAACGTCATTTGTTACGACTATATAACCATAAATTGGTTAATTTTTTAAACATAAAATGAAATATAAAAAAAACCACCTGCATTGGATGTGTTAACTATATACAGGTTTCACGTTTTCCTTCCCCTCTGATCAGAAGTCCTTAAAACACAGCATCCTTCTAACTTGGACCAAATCCTTCAAATGTCCAGATGGACCTGGGCTGGACGCTTGTGTTCTGTTGGAAGAAGCTATTGCCAGGAGAAAGGTTAATGGTTAAGAAAAGTCCTTTACCTTAAAAGATCTTTCTTATGGGAACTCAAGAAAAGAAAGAAGGAAATATTCACAATACTCTGCCTGGAAATTTTCATTGTTTAATATTATCGTCATCATTTGTAAGGTTCTTGCGCTTGTATGATCTGCAAATCGGTGTTTTTGAAAGATGAAAGAGAGTATTTTTATAAGTGGACTTTTCTGATTTGTTGATATTTTAGTAAAAGAAAGAGAATCTTATGACACCTTTATCAAGAGTAAAATATTAATTTGATAGGACAGTATGCCAGTAGAGCTGGATGTGATGGCAAGAATCAGTGATACCACCGGGGCCTTAATGGCAGGGAACTACGTGGACAAAAATTGTCGAATTGGAGTGATTCTGGGTATGTGAATGCACACCCTGAAAGTGAAATACGTGTATTAATTAAGGGTTTGTTCAAAGATAAGATTTTGTTTTATATAATTTTTAGGTACTGGTTCAAATGCCTGTTTCGTGGAACATCTGGAAAACTATAACAAATTCAAATCAACTGATCCAGATACAAAGCAGGTACATCTGGCATTTACATTTGTTATCATTATTCTAAAGGAAATACATTTACAGTTTTATTATTAGTTCAGTATCTTTTGTAGATATTGGTGAATGTGGAATGGGGAGCGTTTGGTGACAATGGATGCTTAGATTTTTGTAGAAATGAATATGAAAAAGAGGTAGATTTACATTCAAATCATCCACATTCATATACGTGAGTATTATTATTTATGAAGGTTCATGCTCTTTTTATCTGTAGTTTCAATGTGTTATATTTTGTATTTTAGAGTAAATTTAAAGGTTTAGATTTAATGCATGGGCTTTTGGTCTTTAATATAATTTTCTCTTTTAATTCAGATTTGAGAAATCATTTGGAGGGTTGTATCTTGGGGAGCAGGTGCGATTGCCGCTCATCAAGCTTATAGAGGGAGGATGTCTATTTAATGGAAAGTCATCCCCAGAGCTGATAAAAAGATGGGGGTTTACTACTTCCAATGTCACATCTATTGAAGAGTAATGATTGTAAATCGCATTTAATTCACAAGGATTCTATTTCCTTTGCAAATATGCAGGACACTTAGCTTGCAAAAAATACTCGGGTGTTTTAATATTAAAATAAATAATATTGAACAGTTATGATAATACTGTTATAAAAAATTAATATATTATCTCGCAAGACTTTGGCGATCTACAACATTTATCATGGTTAATCAATTTAAATTTGACATTTTAATTAATGAATAAAAAATGCTAAATATTTTTAAAATTTAAATGAAAAAAAAAATTAGAGAGGGGAAGAGAGAAAAAAAGAGAATTCTCTATTTCATAAACAACTGTAATATAAAGATGTGACGACAGGTTCTTTGAATATTCGTTCTTTGTAATATAAAAAAAGTTCTTTAGTAATTTTGTTATCTTGTTCCTTGTAACCAGTTTTCAAATGTAATGAAAAATTAAACAAATTTGTGAAATCAGCAATTTATTTTGACAATCATTTAAAACATTTTATTAAAAAAAAACTTGACCTTCAAATAAAATACCGGTATTACTTTTAAAATGTGATTTTAAACAGAATGGCAATGGAAAATTATATTTTACCTTCAGTGTTTGCAGAACTACTTTATGCATACTACTTTAACAAATATACAATATCTTATATTATATGGAAAATTAATGTCTTACATGAATTAGTATTAGTATTTATCTGTTTATAATGTCACAGAGAAAGAATAGCCTTTATATTACAGAGACAATGAGACTTCGGAGAGAACCTGGTCCGTCCTGCAGGCCTTTGGTTTGGCAGACATAGCAACAGAGGAGGATGTATCACTGGTGAGAGAGGTCTGTGCCATTGTGTCGGAGAGGGGGGCCAAAATAGTGGCAGCTGGTAAGGACCATCAATAAAAGTTTATAGTGCTTACAAAATATCTGACTACAAGTATATACCTTGATACATGTAGTTCTTAATTAAGCATCCTTTCTATTTTTCACCAGTATTAGCTGTTCTTTTGAACCATATAAACTTGCCTGAAGTGACGATAGCCTTTGATGGATCTTTGTATGAGAAGCATCCAAAGTATAGGGTCCACATAGCAGATCTATTAGCAAAACTAGTCCCAACCACAAAGGTATGTTTAAATACATGTTTGTTAGTCAAATAAGACAAAATGCACTTCAGCTATATTAGATCTTGTTTCTATATTGGTTCACTGCACAATTACTGAGACAACGATAGAATTTTTTTTTTTTAAAAATCATAAAACATACATTTGTCTTCCTTAATAAGAGGAAAATAGCAGTGATATGTCTGGTACAATGCCCCGTAATTTGAAAAGGAAAAATCAAAACATGTATAAAATCTGATTTCATATTAACTCGTACTTATCATCTTTTTCTTAATGCACCTCTACAAAATGTTGAGCGGAGAAATCAGAAACCCTAGATTTGGGAGAATGTCCAGATACGAATTAGGAACAAACTGACATATATTAGGAAGTAGATTTTAAACTAAGTCAATAATTTGATGACTTTTTATCACAATAAGTATATTTTGTGAAAGAAGAAAAAATTAAAATTGTATAACAAACATCCATATTTTGAGTAGATAAAACGAAACACAGTATCTCGTCACATTCATTATAACAGTTTATATTTGTATACATGTATATATTAACCAAAGTAATGCCTTTAGATTTTTGATAGAAATCTGTTCACCGAAAAATATTTTTAAACCAACGAAGAGAATACAATACGGTCATTTTTTTTTTTCTCCAGACAAAGTTGATTTTAGTAAAAGACGGAAGCGGGCAGGGAGCAGCATTTGTGGCCGCCGTAGAATACAAACAGCCTTAAAGAACCAAGGAAACAAACGAAGGAAATACATGACAATTGACTAGAAAGATACAACTTTAGGAAATAAAATGTTGTTGACTGTAGAACAACTGCTCTTGGAATAGTCAAGGGAAAACAAACAAAATGTTTGCGAATGCTGACGAAGACAATATTAGATACTCGGAAGTAAATCATAAAGTCTTTGAATAATATCAGTGAAGATGACTGAAGAAGAAACACTCTTAACATAATTACCGAACTGTGCAATTCCTTCAAAGTTACTGAACTGTGCAATTCCTTCAAAGTTACTGAACTATGTAATCCTTCAAAGTTACTGAATTGTATAATCCTTCAAAGTTACTGAATTGTGTAATCCTTCAAAGTTACTGAACTGTGTAATCCTTCAAAGTTACTGAATTGTGTAATCCTTCAGAATTACTGAATTGTGAAATCCTTCAAAGTTACTGAATTGTGTAATCCTTCAGAATTGCTGAATTGTGAAATCCTTCAAAGTTACTGAACTCTATAATCCTTCAGTTATTAAACTGTGCAATCCTTCACAGTTACTGTACTGTGTAATCCTTCAAAAGAGAAATGTCAAAAAACCAAAGAATTTCTTGTTTTATTATAAAAATAAATGAGTTATGTTGTTTTATAAGAAAAACGCACAACATTAGTTACAAAGGGTTATTTCTGATTTTTGCAGTTGTCTTTGGCTTGTGGTTCTGTATTGCCAGTAATCATATTAACATGCATACAGTCCGATGGACCAATTAATGTCACAGTTCAAATATCACTTTTACTTGTAATTTATTCGCATGAAGTATTTTACTGCCGCTCGTTTACTCACTTCTTCAGAATCAACCTAATAACACGTCATTTCTGGAAAACAAATAAAAAAATAAAGGCTTGTTCCTTGATAGACACAAGATTACAAAAACATTGTTTTCACTGTAAGGATGATAGATTACAGGTGTTGGCTTGGCACGTGAGAATGGCTTATATTCGCTATTGCTGGATAATAAGAGGAAAAACAAACACGTGACGTAAAATTCACATTCAACGAAATTCCACAAATAAATGAATTTGTGATAATTGTCTTATCTAATCGTAGATCCGCCCCCGAGTTTATAGATGATGCATGAAATCAGACGTGGGACTGTCAAAGTCCGAGCACTCACCTCATCAGATAACAAAGGCAGAATCACAGGTAAATATTGTGCTGTCAAAATCCACCAGGTAATTGTTGTCTTTTAAGTTCACTATAGTGTAAACATCAAAGCTTAAACGTTTGTTAATTTTGTTAAATGAAAGATTGACGTTTACAGGTAATTATTTTAGATAATTTGAAGCATTGTACATTTTATTTGGCTGTCTCGAAAAATTATTTCATGCTTACGAAATAAAGACGTCCGAACGGTACATATATGTGTTTGTCACATTTTTTTGTATGATATACAGCATAATAAAAAATCTACTTAACACACTTCTGAAATTTTCATTGTGCTGAATTTTACCGATATATTTTTTTATTTTTTTTTTCCGTTTTCAATTTAAGGACAAGATGATAAAGCGGGCGATTATCCTCACGGTCTTTCATGTATTGGTGATAAATGCAGGTACAATATTCAAGTTACTTAAATTAATTACAATAGATTTTGTTTGTGTAAAATTAATTTTTTGATTCTCGTTTTTATACCCTATTAGGTCGGTACCAACAGTAAATACAGGATGAAAATCAGTGTGTACAAATATGCAATATAATGAATATTTTTCCCTTTGATTAGCGGAAGCTTTGTCAAGACAAAAACGGGTGATAGGTGGAAAAATGGCGGGAGACGGTGAATGGCCGTGGTTGGTCAGTTTGCACGGAGAAATTGTCACCAAAAGACTGTTTGGTTTTATTCCTATCGCCCACAAACATTTGGTGTGTGGCGGATCTGTCTTAAATGACCGGTGGATACTTACAGCAGCACATTGTTTTTACGACAGGTCAGATCACGCTTAATACCTGAAAACAGAACATTGTTTCATAATTCAACTAACTGACAAACCCTTTTACTTTTTATCAAATATATATCTGTTGACTGTTTTTTTTTTCAAAAAAGATAGCACTAAAAGAGATAACTTTTTCACTTAGAGAGATATTTCTTCCTTTGAAACACACCTCTTTTTCTTGAAACATATCTCTTTCGCTAAGGGAGATATCTCTTTTTGAAAATTTTAAGAGATATTTCTCTTAATTAGAGATATCTCTTAAAGTTGATAAAGAGAAATTTATTAGCATTAAAAATATCTCTCTAATTTTATGATACATCTCTCTAACTTAAAGATTTATCTTTCCAATTTTATAAATCGTTCTAACTTAAAGATATATCTTTTCAATTTTATGATACATCTCTCTAGCTTAAAAAGATATTTTTCCAATTTTATGATACATCTCTCTAGCTTAAAGAGATTTCTAGCAAAAAGTGGTATCACTCTTGGTAAAAGAGACAACTCTAAACGTTAAATAGAAACTTTTTAAGGTAAGAAGTTATCTCTCTATGCTTAATAGACATCTCTTTTAGTTAAAGGTGTTTGGACACAGATTTGAAGTTAATATTTTCTTAAATTTTCGGTATATTTTTATGACTTTATGTTTCTAAAGCAGTTCACATTCACAGGGAAATATAATTTTAAAAATCCCTTACTTTAGATGGAAATTATTCAAACTTCGAATTTCGGTTTGATTGACACATCTTTGCACATATACAAAATAAAAATTATCAGTAATAATTATAGAAAATTAGAAATTTTGTTGTGTATTGATGAAAAATATTTAACTATATCCTGAAAAAAGAGTAGAAATTTGAAAAAGCAAAAGCAAGTCACCAGTATTGTCAATCCATGGTCAGTAATGTGTTTAGAGTTTAACAACTTGATTTCATCCTTGAAACTTCAACTGTTTTTGTATAAACAGGGCACGAGCTCTGTTAATGTTTACGTTTCACTGGATGTGTTCAATTTGTTAAATTCTGCACACATCAATGAGCATGGACTAATATTACTAGAATGTTGGTTTTACTTTCTTACATTTCTATTTTAAATTTTCTTGATTACAGTTTGACTATATTTCATTAATACACAATTTTTTTTTTACTTTTCTTAAGTAATGAGGATAAGGTTTGCCCTATGCAAGTATGTATGAATCATGCAAATGCATCCCGATATATATAGAATCTCACATGATTTGTAGTTGGATATGACTTTTATCTAACGAGTTGTGTGGTTTTTATCCCCGAGCCTTGGCGAGGGGATAAAAACACACAACGAGTTGGATAAAAAATCATATCCAACTACAAATCTTGTGAGATTCTTTTTATCCCATGTTTTTTACACCACGAACAATGTTTGACACTGTTTTTATATAGGACTCCATTTCATTTTACTTCATCACTCTAACGCAAAATCCATTGTGACGTCACAACTGTGTGATATGAAAACGATATCACATGAGCTATATCAATGGGATAAAGGGTTAAACATGGGATAAAAGTCGTTTCTATATTTTCCAGTTGAAGAAAGTTTTTTTTAAATTATATTTTGCTATGAAATGCTATAGCAATATAAAAGTCGTGATTTATACCGAAAATTTTAAAACATTAATTTTAAATCTCTGTCCAAGCACCTTTAAAGAGGTTATAACATTTTACTAAATGTAAAATGTAGTACACATTCATCTCTCCCTGCAATATAATCTTATTTTTCGAATAAAAAAGGAGGGCTTTCCGTAAACACATTTTTGTTGCATTATTAAAATAATCTAGTGTATTTTTTTCACGAAAAGATCTTCCGGGCGGTCTACAGTTATATCTAACGTGTGTGTGCATGTACGAGGGTTGTCCCGTAAAATCGTGGACAAAGCGTTTTTCTCGAAAAGTAATGGGCGCACAAAGCTGAAAATTTCAGTAAATGTTTATTTATCATATTTAAGTGCATAATTTTTTTTGATAAAATATAGCAAAAATAAAGATTTTATTATGCTTGAATGTGCACGGGGTATTGTCCTACGGCGCACGGTCAAAAAACCAAGGTTTTATTTAAGAATACACAAGTTTGAATTCAAAATTAAAGTTTTAAATACATAAAATTTGGATTAAAATTATCCTAATTCAATTTCACAATCAATTTTGTAGTCTTTGTAAAAATTTTAAGGCATTTGGTTAATTTTTGGCAGTTTCTCGAGCATTCGAAATGGGAAATTTGAAAAATACGTTTTATGACTACGGCGCACCGGAGAACAGTTCAGTTTTATTTCGATGTTGTAATGACACCTTTAGAGACCTGAAATGACCATAGAAGAAAAAAGATTATAAAAATATCACCATATTTAAGTATATAAATGAAATAAGTTTTCTTAGCGAAGTTTTTTTTGATCGAGCCCCATACAAAATGACAAACTCTAATGTACATGTAATCAAAAAGACGCTGTCAATAGACAGCCGATATGATTTTTCTATTAGTTGAATGATGGTGAGAATATTGTCCGTAACTTACTAATAAATCCAGAAACACACACTTCAGCTGTTTATGGAGACTAAAGAATGTGTATCAATGAAAAAAGTTAATCGGACTCATCCAACTTCATTTTTCAGCAAAGAGAAAACGTGACGCTGTTTTAGACACTTTGACGTTATAATCCATGCGCCGTAAGGTGATACAATACATGGCATAAAATCTCATAATATGTTTATTTATGCATATATTTATCGTGTGTGTATATTACTAAAATATGTACTAAATGATAGTGAAAATTTCAGAACGCAGTGATGTTTATTTTTCACACTAGACAACTTGTCCACGATTTTACGGGACAACCCTCGTAGATTGACAAATTGGAATGATTATACAATAGTCTATGACACTCGTCAAATACAAATAAATATTTCTGCTTTCCTGTTTTTATATGGTAGAAATGGTGGGTCAGAAAAACGCAAGGCATCAAATTGGGAGGCAAAACTAGCCTCTGCTTCTTTAAAATCAAACCCAATAGAAAAGATTAAAAATTTCCTGGGGAAGTTGTTTGATAAAGAATCCTGGCGATATTGGGAGGTGGACGTGGAACGGATTGTACTTCATCCTGGGTACAACAACCAAAGTAAGATACTGAGCTAGTGAGATCATGCTATGATTTGAAGCTTATATATGTAAGACTCCAAGGTCCGATGGTGACGCCAAAGTCCGATGGTCTCGCCAAACCCTGATGGTCTGCACCAAACTCCGATGGCTCGCTGTCTTTACGGACGCCAAAGTCCGATGGTCACGCCAAAGTCCGATGGTTGGTTTCCTATGAGACGCGCGACGCTAAAGTGCGATGGTCTGACACGCCAAAGTCCGATGGTGCGGAGGAACAGTCAACGTTTATGACGTCACAATAGTCCAACGTCATGACGTCCTGCATTCAAAATCCATTGATATATCACATACATTTTACTGATATTGCTTAGTATTCGACTACCAGAGCTATTAGGCCTAGTCTTTGTAGACTATTCGACTGATAAGGGTTAGTTCTTGAACACCAACATGTTTCCCCGAGAGATTTTATGGTTAGTCCTTGCACACTATTGGACTAATTTTGGTTAGTCCTGCACTCATCCAAGATATCTAGTTTTAACAAATTTTTGGACTGATAACTGTTAGTCTCGCACCTATATCTAAAAGATTAGGGTTAATCTTTGCATTTAATATTTATTTGTATTTTATTTTAAACAAATCGGGCTTTGCACGGTTTCTCAATATCGTGCAGCAGTACTATGACGTCATAAACGTTTATTGTTTTCCGCACCATCGGACTTTGGCGTGTCAAACCATCGGGGTTTGGCGCAGACCATCGGATTTTGGCGTGACCATCGGACTTTGGAGTCCCATCGCACTTTGGAGTCCTACATATATAACGTTATAAAAGTACAATGTACGTACAGCAAGTGGATTTATATAATCTCAGTATGTTTTACTTGTAAAGATATATCAGAATTAGAATCTTCAAAATTCATAAAAAGCAAATGATTCAGCAGGAAGTACTCGTTTCAATACTATTATAATGATTCAATTTTATGTTGAAATGAATTTGTTTGTTTGCTAATTTTAGATTTTTGGGAACATGACGTGGCTCTAGTGCGACTTTCCCGGGACGGTTAATACGACAACATTTATTGCTGACAATGCGTCATTTCCGGGCATTGGAGATGATTGCGTCATGAAGGGATGGGGTTGCAGATCTGGAGGTTAATTTTAATTTGTTAATTAACTTAACAATACTTATAAAAATACTTAATATATAATTTTGATTTACTTGAACTTAAACTTAAATTTGTTACAAATATTTGTGATTTTAAAAAATATCTATGCACTGGACAACAACTTTTCCAGCTTTTTCCTCCTATACAGGTGCTAAATTGTCATTTAATGCACACAGCGTTTCACTTCCGGTTTATAATAAAAGATCATGTTCGCAAATTTACGGAGTAACAGATATGGGGAAAAGAATATGCGCAGGTTTTCTCAGCAGTGGAAAGGGCATTTGCAAGGCATGTATTGAAAAGGAAAACAACTTGTGCTCCTAAATATTTAAATGAATTTTCAAAACACATAGATAAACGTGGATAAGACGTTTGTTTATACCAAAGAACCTTATTACAATTCTTTAGCTCAGTGCAAAGGCAATTTATTCTTTAAAATTAACAATAAATATACTGTTTATAATTGTTTTCTTTACTTTATGAATATTTCTTGTTAATTCTTGCCAATTTTTAATCATAGTCGTTTCTATTCTAGGGAGATAGCGGTGGCCCGTTAACATGTAGAGACAAAAACAACCAATGGATACAAGTGGGCGTGGCCTCCTTTTCTAGCCGGGATAGACCTGGAAGTTATCCTGCTGTGTTTACACGTGTGTCCGCGTATTTGGACTGGATAAACAAAACAATAAAGGGATAAAATTTCCACAGCTGTTGGCTTCCTATTTTACGAGAAAAGAAGATATATCGAACCATAACATTTCAATAAAACTAACAAACAACATTACCAACTAAAACGTTTTTTTTTAAGTCAATTTTTCATGAATTCATGATTGAACATTTGATGTTATATTTAATAAGTGTGATTTTTTTTACAACATTCATTTCTATAGATAAATTGAATATAGATTCGGTTATTGTCAACAAATTATCTGCAATAAAATTTCGATAAAAAAGTACTTTTTTGGACTCTTTTCAAAGCGACCATTAAGTCAGTCCCACATTTTACACTGTGCAAGATAATATTTTTGGAAGATAACAGAAGACCTTAGTTTCTTTCACTGGGAATGAAATAGCTGAAAAACAAGAGGTATGTACATGTTATCGGATACACATAGAAAATCTAAAAAATCAAAAACTAACATGTTTATATTTATTATAACCTAAAAGAGCATGCAGAGATAAGGAAAGGACAATATTCCACGAGGGACCTCATTTTTTTGTCCCCCGCTTGAAAAGTGGGGGATATTAATTTGGGTTTGTCCGTCCGTCTGTCCGTCCGTCCGTCCGTCCGTCTTTCTGTCTGTCTGTAACGCTTTCGTTTCCACACGATATCTCGAGAACCCTTTGAGCTTTTGCAATGAAATTTAGCATAGCAACTCCCTATGGACTAAAGAAGACCCCTATTGATTTTGAGGTCAAAAGGTCAAAGGTCAAGGTCATAAATAAGCAAATTCTGTCTGTTAAAACACTTTCGTTTCCACACGATATCTCGAGAACCATTTGAGCTATTGCAATGAAATTTTATATTTCTGTGGCCTAATGAAGACCCCTATTGATTTTGAGGTCAAAAGGTCAAAGTTCAAGGTCGTAAATTTATACATTCTGTCTGTATGTAATACTATCATTTTATTTCAAGAAGATTTTGAGCTTATGCAATGTAATTTTATACCAAAACTCCCTAGGACGTCTCTCGCCCCTCTCAAAGTGCCCCGCCCCGTTTGCTTTATTAGTCTTTATAGTATTACATGTCGCTATTTTTAGCGCAGGGGCATGAGGAGAGTTATTGCGTATAAAACAGGTTCTCGGCGGACTTTATGTTCTTATTACATCTATTAGAACTGTTTAATAAAGGCTAAATAAATCAAACACCATGGATTGTGTAAAATTTTAGAATACAGAACATGAAAACATGAATATATACATGTATGTGACTTCAATTCTGCATATACTTCATAGCACTTAGAGCGATTCCGTGGTCTAGTGGTTATGTCTCTCGCTTCAAATGTGAGAGGTTCCGGGATCGAATCTCGGTCAATTTTTTCTTTTTTTTTTCTTTTTTTTTTAAATACTTTTTTTTTTTTTAAATGATAGTATTCAGCATGTGAAATGAAAAATTTATGAGGTTATAAAATCATCATTACAGTGTGATAAACATTCCATATAAAAAAAATCTTCTATACACATAATAAAGAATAAGCATTCAAATCTTTATATGCATATTGACATACATGCATTTTATTTGCTTCAATATACATGTATACATTTAATAATTCTACAAATTCAGTCAGGGGGAGCCGACTTTTTCCCTAAGCGGGGGACACGAATTCTCTGAATTATCTTGTTACTCCATGTTGTATATAGGACCTTCTTTGAAGAATGTCTTGTCTAGTTCTCTGTTGTACATAGGACCTTCTTTGAACTATTTCTTGTCTAGTTCTCTGTATGATTTCCATAAAACATACTTTTTTTCTTCTTCTTTTTTTTTTCTTTTTTTTTTTTAATAATTTTACATTTTTATACGTTCACTTTCGCCAAATAGCTTTGTGGTTATTTTCAGGTCTTAAATTTTAGACCCAGTGACCATGGAGTTAATTTTCACTCATTCTCACCATATACTTGCACTCTGTTTCTTTGGATTGGTATTGGTGATATCTTCTTGTACCGCCACAGAAGAGAGTTCTAATTTTGCCACCTTTAAAGTTGAATTCGAGACCAAACTTTCCGGACTGGAGAGTGAAATTAAACGACTCAGACAGTCAAATCAAGATTTGACGGATAGAGTTAGGCGTCTGGAGGATTTGCTAATGAACGCGAATTCAGAGAGGATAAGGTTGGCAGAAGCTGTGAGACATCAGGAGGACAGAATTCGACTTCTGGAGGATTCTGGACAAGACAGTCCGCATGCAATGTATCAAAACAAAACCAAAATACTTCGCAAATCTATCGATGGAAATGGAAACGACCAATATGGAGTAAAGAGAATAAGTAAGGATTTAACAAAGTTACTTTGTTAAAGAAGGTATTTTTACAGCCTTTAATAGGTTGTGTTTTAAAAAAAATCTAGCACATAACAAAATTCCTTCTAGTCAAATATCATATCCTAGAAAAAATTACTGTATTATTGCTTTTATGTAAAATACTTGAATCTGATTTGTCTCTAAGGTTTGAAATAAAACGCATTTTAAAACTTGTGAGAGTAGATGTAGATATTTTTCAGGTTCGTCATACTTTGAGCAACATTTAATCTATTATTATTTATTCCGTACCGGTCGGCAGGGGATGCTCACTCCTCCACGGCACCTGACCCCACCTCTGATGTTTTGGAGGGTCCTGTTTGCTTTGGTCCTATTTTGTATTGTTTAATGGACTTTTGAGCTTGAATACTGTTCGTTATCTCCCTGTATTTCATGTCATTTGGCGACGTTGTGTATAAAAAGAAATCAAACATACTACTAAGTATCAATGTTCTATTTCATTACATTTAGCATGATTTAAAAAATATAATAGCATAACATGGAGATTAACGATTAACTTTTATTTGTGTTTTTTTACAGTACCACCAACTACCCAACCAATGAGTGAGCCCGTGATTTTCTACAGTTATAAATCTACTAACAGTCCACCCAACTTAAGTCTTCATCACGTGATCGTTTTCGATGTCAATCCAGTAAACAAAGGACATGGTTATCACAAAGATAACGGTATTTTCGAAGCGCCAAGATCAGGAACATACATGTTTCTTTGGTCTATTTACACGTATCCAAGAGGTTATATTGGTACGGAATTGGTGGTCAATGGTAACGTTGTAGGTGGCGCAGTGGCAGACAGTCACCCCGATGACGGTATCAATAGCTGCACAGGCGTTGCCATTGCTGAAGTTTCTGCTGGTGACCATGTATACCTCAGAATTTCTCCCACAGCCGTCAATTACATTTGGAGTAGTTCAAATGGAAGATCAACTTTCTCTGGTTGGTTTTTGCAGTAAATGGAATACTTAGTAACCTTATAAAATTCTGATTAATATATGTAAGAATTTTAGTCAGTGACTACAATCGAAATCTCAATAAAGCAGAATTTCCTTTCCTGAATATAACAAGCATGGATTTATTCCGTCAAAAGAATGTAGTACAATTCTCTGTTATCCGTGGACTTTCCGTTTGGCGTGGTATTCTGGACGTTGCATGAATTAGCGTCTGAAATTTACACAGCGTTTCATTCACTGTTGAAATATAAATGGGATAGAAATTCGGCGAATGTGAACGAGTGTAGCAAGGATTCAATGATAGCGTTTCGCACGGCAAAGAGCTGGGGCTTAAGTCGTCTTATCGTCAACAACAATTTAAAGTTGCTGATATTATTAATTTCCTATCAAATGAGAATATATTTGAAAGACGATAATTACGTAGCGTCGAGAATGCCACGCCTTATTGAAAGTCTAAGGATAACAGAGAATTTTACTATGAAATCAAGCTACTCGTAAGAAGCTCTGGTGTATATAAAGCTGATAAGAAAAAAATATCATTACATATGAGCAAGGTAATCATCTCTTGAGAAATCCAAGATGATCAAGGCTCTGTGACAGCAATGAAAAAATTGGCCAAAGTAACCTTACAAAATCAAACTTAAATCAAAAATAACTATATAAAAATGCATTTTTTTCACATTTTCACACTGATCTATCAAATGACTGTTAAAAAAGGCCATCATCATGCTCGGGAAGAAACAATTTTTATACTTCTACTACTCTACAAATAACTATTTTGTGTTAGAAAATTATTTTCAATGAGCATGCAAACTTGGATCCCATTTTGTGGCATTTCTCGTTCTTATAATTAGCCGTATCTAAACCCCCCTGAAGTGACGCCATCATCGAAAAGTTATCCATCCAGGTTCATTAAATAATTTATCATACGAGGGTTGTTCAAAAAGTTCGTGGAGTCCTGTCATATCTTTTTTATTTGACGTCATATGTTATCCAACTTTGATAAAAAATATTTCAACAATAAATTCAAATGATTTATATCAATTTTCTTTAAATGTCACGATTTATTCAAAACTTAACCATATTTAAAAAAATGCAAAAATCGGGTCGCGGAGCAGGTGAAAATAAAGTAAGTTACAAAAAATACACTAAATAATGCCTGTGGTCATATTCTGTGTAAAATGCAGCAAAAAAGAAAAACAGCTCAGAAATTCAAATTACGAATTGTTATGTATTCTTATTCCAGTAGTGGATGACTAGACCATCAAAAATTTGACTTTAATGTACCACCCTACCCTACGGCTGATTTGTACTTTTTTGGATAGATATAATATCACACAATATTTTTTGCCCGGTCGTAGAAAATTCTATGGTCAAAATTTTAAACAATGGAAGATTAAAAGATCAATTACTGAAATCTTCAGAAAATGAACATTTTGAAAAAAGTTTGAGAAATATGTATATTTTCTTAGAATTGTTGATATATTTGTATCGATAATTACTTGTATCACACATTAATTAGATAAAAACGAAAATTTTTAATAAGAATGCCCGTCCGTCTGTTTGTATGGTGTATGTTTGCTTCTGAGTAATTCTACCTTAAGTTGAATGGATTAATTTTATTTATTATACCCCTTGCTTGAAAAGCGGGAAGGTATATAGTAATCGGTATGTCGGTCCGTCCGTCTGTCTGTCCGTCCGTCCGTCTATCTTTGGGGTACTTATCTCTTATCCGCAACTCCTCTCATATATCAGTGCTAAATGACATTTAATGAAACTTTCACAGAATCTTTATTACATATTGCCATTGTGTACCTCCTATTTTACTTTTTGATCCGACACATATTTTGGGTTTTCCAAAGCAAAACATAGGCACTGCCATTATATTTATACGGGAGGCGTGGGTATCATTTAGTGAGCTCATTGCTCACAGTACCTATAGTTTCCTTTACTTTAAATGCATTAAAGTAATAACTAGAAGAATAGTTATTGAAAAATGAAACGAGAGAAACCCAGAGTATGTGAACAAAATAGACATTTGCCTGTATCGGAGATATATATTTAAATAAACTTAATTGAGTTTTTTTTTCTTTCAGGGGATTGCCAAGAGAGCGCCATGTATAACCATTTACACATATGTAAGAATCTTGATTATTTCAGTCTTCCTCGAAAACTGTTTCAAAATCATCGTCAATAATTGTTGCCTGATGTGTTACAGGGTTGCCACAATCTGCTGAGCCTTCGCATAAACATATACTTGTACACGCCAAGTTCTGCTTGTAACATACACAGTTCCTGCCACAAACTGATTTACCTCTACAAGAGCAAACGAGATCTTGTAAGAAATCTGAGGCCATAGGTCCCTCAAAGAATATAGGTGTCAACCCACAAACACTTTCTTTCCAACCAAACTCTAAAGGTGACTTGTGCACTGGCTTAGCTATGTGCGAATTCATCCAAACATGTGTTTGAAGCATAACACGAAGAATGTGTTGTGTAAAAGATGCTTCACAAGGTGGAAGTCTAGCAAGAGTCGTTTCTTTTGTTGTTGCTAGTTTGACTCTGAATTTATTGAGATTTTCATGCACATTCTTTAACCTTTCCTGTGGATCATACATCAGTGCTACAAGCTTGCGCGCAGCATTTATAGCCGCATCTAAATCGTCACCGGAAAGAACTGACAGAGTTTGAATATTTTCTGAATGTTTCCGTAGAACCTTAAACATTACCTTTTTTCCCAGGCCAAAGAACGACGAGGATGTGTCACAACCTGTAATGGCATGTACAGCAGGCAATATCGAAGTTATGGAAGGACCAAGTGATTTCGACAGGTCGTGGACGGGCAAATATCGTCTTCGGTCTCTTGAGCTTGATACACTTCCAGTCTGGAACCACAGCTCTTCTGTGTTTGTCATTAGAGGAAAGTAGTGTATAAGCAAAAGCAATACATCAGTGTCAGGGGACCTAACAATGACACGACCTCTAACATCATCAGCTCTAAAGATAGAATCAGCAAACAGCGAATGTAGTACTATTCGCGTATCTGCTTCCTCGTGCGTGCTCCTTAGTTCAGGAATATCAGACGCATTGGTTTCATCAAATCTTTTGACGGTCTCTGGATTCAGGAAGACACCTGCTAAATACAAAACCTTACCACTTTGAAGCACATGCTGCTCAAAATGTGTGTTTAAACATTCGCCTAAGAATTGTATTAATGCCTGCTTATTCTTGGAGTTGCTCAGAAACTTCTTCCATTCCGGTAGTGCTCTTCCTTCGATTACTTGGTACACCATATTGGCACTGAAGGCACTTGCACGACGAAATCTTTCGGCTGATTTCGTTGAATGTGTTTCATCATAGCGATCAAACACATCCATTACAGTTCCTGCAAAAGTAAAGCAGTTGTTTAACGACGCGGCATAGGATCTTGCTAGATCACCAAATGTCTTAAGCTGTCTTACGTCCATAGCTTGTACAAATCCCATACCATCCCTTATCAACACTGTTCTAGAAAAATCAAAATCACGAAGAGAGAAGGATGGCGTGACAGTCTCTTCAAAGAGATGCATCAAATCTGACTTACAGGTCTTTCGCATAGTACCATCCTCATGAAACAGTGACAAAGGTATTGGGCCAACTGGATGTGCCAAAACATTTTCTATATTCACATCATCTCGGACATTTGAAAGAGCCAAAGCACGACGAAATATTACCTCTGGATTGATGTTTCCTTTTAAGGACTCTCCAGATCTACATTTCAGTTTCGAAGCTTTTGTCATATCATCAAACGTTTTCAAAGAAGATCTGGTAATAGGGTTATAAAAATTGCGGGATCCACCTTCACTCAGACACCCCTCAACAAAAGCCTTTACCATTTTTTCACCACTTTCAAGAAAGTTTGCAAGTGAGTGTTCAACATCTTTTGAAGCTTGCAACCCAGTAGAAATATTTATCAATGAACTGGGATGTTCGGCCATGTTGAATGGGTCTGTCATGTTGGAATGAAGATATTGAACCATGTCTATGACTTGTTGTTCATCACGTGACATAGCAGTAGGCTTATTTTCCTCGTGATCGTAAATCCCGCCTGTATCTATACCAGATCTTACTTTCATTTCAGAACTGAAATGCGCTAATATATGTCGAGTGAGGACCCATCTGAGGAGAGCGGGTTTTTTCCTAGTAATCCCAACAATACCACTGCAGCCTTTTGAATCTTTAATAACAGTTTTTTCTGTCGCCATGTCGCTCCATATGCCATTAAAGGAACCGGGTTTTTGTCTGACAGAAAAATCTCCAGACCTGAAAGATGACTGTATGGACTCTGGCAGCTGCATCATGTCTAATACGTAGACAGGCATCCATCTAGCGTAGTTTGTTCTATTTGTAACAAAAAAGTAAGGCAGCATTGCAGCACTTGATTGTAGATGTTGTTCCCATAAACTATTGCGCTCAGCTCGAATGTTCATCAACAGAATCTCTACAGCATTCAGAAAATTGTTCCAAAAAGCAAAGGTTGGGGAAACAGAACCACGTTTTCGAAAACGGTCAATCAATGGGACAAAATAAACCTGGATAATATCAGAAGTGGCTTTGATATCAACGATTTCGTTGCCATCAAATGTACTATGACATTGAAGAATAGCCTGCCATATTTCTTCTTCAATATGTGCCAAGAGATTTTCTTCATTTGCCCACTTGAAGAAATTCTCAAACATGATGGTCATGAGACACTCGTAAGCAACCGTTAAACCACGCACGGCACGGTTAAACTCCTTTCCAGACAACATTTGGTCTACTGTGTTTGGGGCATATATCCCAGAATCTGCGAGTAGGTCAGATAGACCACCTGATGCCCAAATCTTGCCAATGCAGGCAATGAAACACGATAAAGCATGAAAGCCACCCAGTCTGAGAACATGTGATTGAAATACATCTGGCATTGACCATTTCACTTGCTGAGCAATTGCATACAATTGCTGATCAAAGGTCTGAATTGAAAAGGGTTGACCTACCTTCTTTGCCATGTCTGAACATTGTTTCATGACAGTGTATACTGTTCCCATGTCATTAGG